CAAACCTCCAACCTACCTTATCAAGTTTCTTGGGTAAAAACACGTCCACCACCTTACCCCACCGCCGAAAAATTTTCCACAGAGTACCGACCTCAAGTGACTCCAAAATATTCGTGAAAAAGTACGATGTTGAGGAGCTTAAGACACGACCCAAATGCCCCCTAAAGCCTTTGTTTTGGTACCCACACCGTAGCTCTACCGACTACCCTCCACCAACATCTCTCTCCCAAACTCTTCCATGGATATTATCGTCCCCTACTCTCATGCTACCTTTTTTCTCGATCATCTTTCTAATCCCCTTCGGTGACACCAACCGAAGCTTAATAGAGAGTAAAGAATAAGTTTCTACCAAAATCTAAAGACAACTCTCTACGACCTTAGGATTCAACTTAACAACCAAAGCTTCCAACTTTCTCTTAACCTTTTAACTTTGAAGTTTCCACACACATAGTTGATTTCTCTTGAAATAATACATTGTTTCATTGCGTTAATATGAAGTTTTTTAGAAATATATATTCTATATCAAATTACATTTGTTTAATAGGTTTTGGCTTTGTTGCCATGACATCTTGTATCTTTTTTCTTTCTGGAGAATATATTTTATGCTGAATGCATATGATTGAAGGGGGATAAGTGCCAACCTAAATGTGATTTCTTCTTCCATAGAGATGCTTTAAACATCAGCTTTTAAATAATAATAACAATAAAAAAATTTACAACAATCGGCATCTTCCAGCAATGAACAGAACACCATGTGGCCTTCCTCCATCAACAATCTTCAGCAACACCCAGAAGAAAAGTAAGTATAAATTTTGTAATATTATTAAAAAAAAAAAACATATTCTCACAAACACACTAAAAAGAAGTCAAAATCATGTGAAATTTTAATAAATTTTATACCAATACATTTCAGAGTTTCATGTGGTTTAAGAATCAAATAATTTTTTAAGTATAAAACTGCAATAAATTGGAACTCCAAAATAAAATATAATTCAAACCTAAAAGTTGTTCCTAACAAAATTTCTATAATAATAAAAAAAAACTGACCGAATAAATTTTATTATATGGTGATAATCGGCGAATAGGTATATTTTAAATATTAATGAATAGATATATTTTTATAGTATTTTAATATGAATTGATATTGAAATAGGAATATATCCGAAAGCAACTGTGACTGCCAGAGACGTGTGTGAAGGGTCACGATACCAAAATGTATTAGATTGTTGAGTTTGTGGTGTATATGATGTAACTAGCCTTAGCCACAAGACGTGGCAGATGAAGGAACATAATAGATGTTGTCGAAAGCTCAAATTCCGCGTTTTATCTTCCTTTAGTCTTTTTTACCATTATTCATATTTATTGGAGTTGTGTTTTATAGAATAATGGCAAATAAACGGCAGAAGAAGAAGCTGTAAACGCGTTTTGTTTTAGCAGCATCGCAACCTCTTCTCTAAAAGCACGTCGCTTTTGACTTTATTGCTTTTGAGAATGACACATTTGGGATCTTTTCCCTCTCCTTCTTCTTTATTCTCTCTTCGGATCACCCCTCTGCTTCATCTCTCTCGTCACAATCAACCTCCATTCATAACGTTTCTTACACATTCTTAACTCTTAAGTCATGCACAACAAATTAATGGTATCAAAAGAAACCCACCATCAATATTTCAAAGTCATTTTATGTTTCTTGTAATTTACAATAATTTATATAAAACATTGTTTAAATGGATAAGTATTCGTTGAAAATGTCAAGTTTCTTAAATGAATTTATATTTTAAAAATCTTTGATTTTTGGTTATTAAAAGAAATTAAGGTTTAATTATTATGTTGGTGAGCATTTTTTTTTTAAATTAAAATTTCAATTCTGGATTTTCAACTATTCATATTTTTTTGTTCAAATTTCCATTTTAAAAATATATTGAATCACTATTAAATTACACTTGATTATAAGTATATGCAGTTTGTCACTCCTTTTTAATCATGTGGAAGTAAGTATGAATATTATGCTTATTTTATCAATTATTGTGTTATGTTAAAAGTAATAAAAAATACGATTCATTTAATTGAAAGTTAAACACAAATTATAAAAAATTAAAACTAATATCAAAATTACATTAAAAAAATCAAAAGCCAAAATTACGGAAAATTGAATATTAATGGATTATATATATATATATATATATATATATATATATATATATATATATATATATATATATATATATATATATCAGACTGATGCAAACATTAAAGTTTTTCTTTTGTTTTCGGATCTAACTTTTGAAATTTGGATTTTACTGTACTACTTTTTTCATCAAAAAAGATATAAAATGTCGGTCATATTATACGAATTCTAAAATATTTTTAAAATATTGAGTGAGACTTTATATATATATATATATATATATATATATATATATATATATATATATATATATATATATATATATATATATAAAGAAAGAAAGAGATATTTTCCTATTTTAAAAAATTTCAAGGACGAATTTTAGACTTTATTCTTCTTTTTGTAGTGATGTAAATAGTTATTATGCATTCAGATTTAACTATTGGCTTTTTGTTATTGAAAAAAATGAAAGGGAGAAAGTGTGGATGTAATTAATTTGAGTTGTTTGACTAAGAAAAAGGAGTAAAAATAATTTCAAAACACGGTATTTTGTCGTATGTTTTCAACTATTTTTATGAATTAGTTTTTTTTTCTTCGTTTTTATTTTATTTTTTGATTCAAATATATTTAATCTTTATATATATATATATATATATATATATATATATATATATATATATATATATATTCTAGTAACCAACATTCTTCTAAATAATACAGTTTAAAAATAATTGTATTGATAATAAAACCTCTTAACATAGAGTAGTATATATATTGTATAATACAATATTATTATTTTTATAAATTTAAGAAATGAAATGGCAATTTTAAATACGGATTTCAAGTTAATATTAGAAGGTTATAATAATATTTATTTTATTTCTCTTTCATATATAAAAATGAATGACAACACATTCAAAATTAATTGTCAATTGAATGTGATAGAAAAGTTCAAAATGTTATTAAGAAAACATTCATCACAATTATGAATAAGTCTGGTTCCATGAATATATATATATATATATATATATATATATATATATATATATATATATATATATATATATATATATATATATATATAAAGAATTTTTGAGAAAAAACAGTTTATCGTTTTTTTTAACATTTTAATTAATTATTGCCGACATGACCCTCTCTTTTCTCCTCTCTTCTCACAAAATATATCTTTACAATATTTTGTATGAAATTGAGAATCTCTTGACATAGATGAATTGCTGGTTGAGGTATGAGAAGTTTTGATTCAGAATGATGTTGATTGTAGTAATGAATGAGAACTTCATAAGTGAAAATATTAATTGTTTTCAATAACTTAATATCGTTATTAATTGTTGAAGTATATATAATATTTATATTCTTTTGAGAAAATATTATTAATATAAAATATAAATATAAGTATTTTTATAGTTAGTTGGGTGCTATATATCTAATAGGATTTTTTTTGTCGTGAAAATATACAAACTCTATATTAGTTTTTCTTTTTACAATTGAGAAACACTAGTTAAGACAAGGTTTTAGGTTTCATTTGCAGATTAATTATATTTACACCGGACAAATTCATGGATTTTTTGGATGATATGATTTTAAAAATAATAACTATATTTAAAAAAAATATTTTTATTAAAATATATATGCACTATAATTTAATTTATATACTAAATTATTATATTATAAACTAAAATTAATTTCTTTATCTAACTCAAGTTTTAAAAACTTATATTTCATTTTTAATTTGGTTTAGATTTTATTTATTTATTTTCTGAAAATAAACCAAAATGATTCATTAATCCGATCTAGTATCTTATTATACCTAAAAATTACAATTTATATAAAATATGAATAGACTTGTTTTGACCTAAATTTATTTTAATGTGTTTAGTTAAACTTAAATAAATTATTTTATCACCTCTAATAACAAAAACTTATTTAAATTGACTTTGACTTAATTACATAATAATGGTAATATTATTCTATCATAACATAAAACAAGGTGAATTTACTATGAGATAAGTGATACTTCATTGATGATTTTATCTTAAAAGTCTAGATTCTAAGTATTAATTAATTTGAGTATCTTAATTAATATTGGAGCTGATGTGACTTGTTATATAAACAAGCCTCAAATCTAAACAATAAAATTAACATACGAGAGAAAAAAGAATAATATATAAATTATTATGTGCAATATTACAATTATTTATTTTATTATTCTATTTTTCGTTTATGATTTATCGATAATATTTTATAATCTTTAGTTAAGAAAAAAAATATTACTGTGATGAGTGATGACATTTAGAAAACATTTTCAAAACTAATTTCATGAGTACATTTTTGAAGGATTTATTATTGTATATTTTGTTATATTTCAAAAGATTAAATTGTTTATTAAATCTATTTTGAAATCATTTGATTTAAATTTTCATTCAATATACGATTGGAAGAACAAAACAATTTCTCTCCCTCTTTTCGAAATTGATTCATGTTGTATGATCATAAACAATATGCATACAAATATTTAAGAACGATGCTCATTTTATTTATATTAATAAAATTAAATATTAATATAAAAATATTAAAATAATAAAAACTAATATTTGTATTAATCTTTTAAGTTAACGTAACAACCACGGTAAAAGTCAACATTTTGCATTCTCCAATTAAATCTTTTTATTACATTTAACTAGACCCAGTTAACACATGTGGTTACGTAAATCTGAATTCAAGGAGTAGTATCTATCAATCACACCAAATTTTGTTAGAACACAACAATAACACTAAGCCAAGTAGATTCCAAATTCCCTTGGCCTTTTAAATATCGAAATCCTCCCACTCGTTCGATACTCGCCACTGGTTCCAGATGGCTGTTTCTCCACCCAGATACCGTTCCACCCTCGCATTCTCCTTCTCCTTTCTCTTCTTCCTCGCACTCTGCACCCCTCTCACCGCCGCCACAGGCTTCGCCGGTTCAGCCTGCCTCAGTGTCTCCGCCTCCCGCTTCGCCGGCTCAATCACCCAAGTCATCACCGCCATTGAAAAACTCTCGTCCATTCTCTCACGCTTCTCCACGCGCTTCGCCGACTTCCGCCTCGCCACTGCTATCGCCGACTGCCTCGACTTGCTCGACCTCTCCTCCGACGTCCTCTCCTGGGCCCTCTCCGCCTCTCAGAACCCCAAAGGTGACAAATCAAAACATTCCTATAAATCACATGTTTATAAGAATTTGGTCGCCAACTAACCTTTTAAGGTTTTACAGGGAAGCATAACAGCACGGGGAACCTGAGTTCCGATTTGAGGACATGGCTAAGCGCGGCACTTGCGCATCCACAAACTTGCATGGAGGGATTCGAAGGGACGAACAGCATTGTGAAGAGTTTGGTATCGGCTGGCATCGGCGAAGTGGTGACGTTGGTGGAGCAGCTTCTGGCGCAGGTGGTGCCCGTACACGATGAATTTGACGCGAGCAAGGGGCAATTTCCCTCGTGGGTTAAACCCAAGGAAAGGAAGCTTCTGCAATCGATTGGAGTGAGTCCTGATGCTGTGGTTGCTTTGGATGGGAGTGGGAACTACACTAGGATCATGGAGGCGGTGCTTGCGGCGCCCGATTACAGCATGAAACGGTTTGTGATTTACATAAAGAAAGGTGTTTATGTTGAGAACGTGGAGATCAAGAAGAAGAAATGGAACATCATGATGGTTGGAGATGGGATGGACGCCACCTTTATCTCCGGTAACCGGAATGTCGTCGACGGTTGGACCACCTTCCGGTCACCTACATTCGGTGAGTTTGCCATTGCCACACTCTCACACTCATTCTACTCTTTTCTTCTTTCTTTCACACCACTGTTTCTCTCTCTTTTTGAAATTTGTCCTTATTTATTTTTTACTATTAATATTATAGACTGCAAGATTAAAAGACTAAATAAGAACGTTATGATTAAAAATGACATTATTCTTCTTTTCTTTTTTTTTTAATTTGTGAACGTTAATTTTAAATGATAAAAACAATAGAAGGAGAAAGAAACTAAAATTTAAAAAATAAAAACATGGATTATGATGCAATATTTGAAAAGTTGCATTGATTTCGATGGAATCTTCTATTTTGAACACTTCAGACCTAAAGTTGATTGCCTAGGAAATAGGGTAAGAGCGTGCGTGAGAACGGGGATCTTTTAACCATGCTTTTGTTTTTTTGTAATTGGTTGATGTAAGAAATCTGATTAAGAAATTATTTTTTAACAAAATAACATATTTTTATTTTTATTTTTAATCATTTAGTCATCATTATAATAGGCTAACATTTTCCTATTTTTCTTAATTTATTTTTTTAATATAAACTGAATGTATATATATTCTTTGATATTGGTTATATAAAGTTTCAAGATTTCTTTGTTATTTTTATTTTATAAATTATTATTTATTGTACTTTTTTATAAAATAAACTTAAAAAGAATTCGAAGATAAATTTTAATGAGCATTTTCTCTTTTAATTTCACAATAATTACAAATATCGATGATAACTTTTTTTTTAATTTAGCGTGTACGATAAAAACCAATCAAATTAAATTTGTCATATGTGAAGAGTAACATGAAATACTTTCATTACTCTACTAAAGAATTTGTCATTCAGGAATATGTATTGTTTCAATCTTCCTTATGAGTGTTTATATATTTTAATAGAAAATAATAACAAGGATCAATGAGTTTTACTGTTAATACGAAGTTAGTGTTTGAATTTTGTTTATTGTTTCGTAAAATTCACTTGGCATTACAATAATCAATGAGCTTTATACTGTTAGTGAAAGCCGAAAGGTGGTGGCATAAAAAGAAGCAATTGCCATACGGTAGAGATAGAGACCCCCTTTACTTTTTAACACGTAGAATACCTTAACCTCTTCACAAATTAGATCGAAGCAGAAAATATTATTAAAGTTATTTTGAACAGAAGATAATCAAAAGTTTATTCCTGGCTTCATTTTTAAAGGTTTTGGAACCGCAAAAATTAACAATATCAATGCGAATCATTCAATACGTATTGATAACTAATTTTACATCAAATATTTATATTTTTTTTTTAACTACCAACCTAGATAATCCACGCCTTCAAGCTAACTCCTAATGGATTAATTAGCACAAAAACATTAATGCATTGGGTCAAAATTGTTCTGCTTAGGAACAATCACTTCTGAACCAACACATAAGATTGCAAGTAACTGCTTAAATATAACTTCGACTTATAACAACTTTCAAAAGAAGTAGGGCCTTCAGATTTAATCATAGTAGCTACTAACTAACACAATCCACGTATGCAATTAAACCATAATTATCATTAAATGCATGTAATTAAAATTCTCATAACCTATCGTATTCACTGGCCCACGCGTTCAACCAAATTCTAGAATCAAAACGAAGTTCATCAAAACGTTGACCTTTAACTAGATACAATTAGATTATGCAGTTCATCATAACATGTTAAGACGAGAGATTTTATTAAAAATTAACTAATAATAAGAAAATTTAGCTACTCAAACTGTGTTAACTGTGTGCGCAGCTGTGAGTGGCAGAGGGTTCATAGCAAGAGACATTTCCTTTCAGAACACGGCAGGGCCTGAGAAGCACCAAGCAGTGGCACTGAGATCAGACTCAGACCTTTCCGTGTACTACCGATGTGGGATTTTCGGTTACCAAGACAGCCTATACACCCACACCATGCGCCAATTCTTCAGAGAATGCAGAATAACAGGCACAGTGGACTTCATCTTTGGCGACGCCACTGCCATGTTCCAAAACTGCTTGATACAAGCCAAGAAAGGCTTGCCAAATCAGAAGAACACGATCACAGCACACGGTAGAAAAGATCCAAATGAGCCAACAGGTTTCTCATTCCAGTTCTGCAACATCACTGCAGACTCTGACCTTGAACCCTTGGTCAGCACCACTCAAACGTACCTGGGCAGACCCTGGAAGGCTTACTCACGAACCGTTTTCATGCAATCGTTCATGAGTGAGGTGATAAGGGCAGAAGGGTGGTTGGAGTGGAATGGAAACTTTGCTTTGGACACATTGTACTACGGTGAGTACTTGAACACTGGAGCAGGTGCTGGCATAGCTAACCGTGTGAAATGGACAGGGTACCATGCATTGAATGATTCAAGCCAGGTGAATAACTTCACAGTGACTCAATTTATTGAGGGGAATCTGTGGTTGCCTTCCACTGGAGTGACCTACACTGCCGCATTCACGGTTTAACACAAAACTCCCTCGCCTTGTCACTCTTGTACTTATATTAAGATATATTCAAGTGTTTCTTTATAGTTTATTTATATCAGAGAAAATATATAGGTACTAAAAAAGAGTTATTGGGGGTATGGGTCCGTCCGTGTTCAGTTTAATTAACTAGTGTTTTTAAATTTTGGAGAAGAAGATGGAGGCAATAGTGTTGCATTGCATGACAGTACAACACATGCACCTTCACCGAAGTTTTAATGGTGGTGTCACGTTGATTAATTAATTAATTATACTTGATAAAAAATCATATATATATATATATATATATATATATATATATATATATCTGTATCAAATTATTACTCGTTTCATCTCAATTTCCACTCTCTCACTGCAATTAATGAAGCTATTTCTCTACTAATTAATGCTTGCTTCTTTAAGATAAAACTTTTTACTCAATTATTAATTAATTGATAAGGATTGAGATAATGACCATTTCTTTTGGGAACGCGAGATTTTGGCAGACATTGTGGACCAAGGGTGACCTCCATAGTTTGACTTGACTTGTGCTTGCAGTGTGCCCAGTTCACTCAAGTTGCAAATACTTTTTTCATTTCCATGCAAACACCTCTGCATACGTACATATTAAAACGGAGGAGTTACATATGAGTATGCAAATTTTAATGAAACTATAAAATTATTTAATTAAAAAATAATTTATTTTGTTTATTGGTATAACAAAATACAAATTAGGAAAATGGTTCTGAATTCTTAAATTTGTGAATGTTTGAAAATAGTTCGGTTAACATATGAGAACAAGGTTTTTTATTGTATTTAATGTTGATAATAAAATTGAAAAATATATTATACACTGATCATATAAAACTAACTTGATTTGATGTATGAAAAAAACTCACAAGACTTTGTAATTGCATAAAAATGATCGTTTAGTATAGAGTTGTTCAATTTTATAGAACGAGAACCTGAATTAAAAATATGAGTTTTGAGAAATTACAAATTTTTAAGAGAAATTATTCTACATATGCAAAGTTTTGAATATCTTATCTGTCACTGTTTTGTACGGTGAGGAGGAAGTGAATAGGAAAAACAATGTTCCTCCTATTTAAAATAACACAAACTCTGTGCTCATTTTCCATTCTTCATATCTGTTATGAGATATTTCTTACAGTATATAACATTCCATTGTTGAATTATTGGTAAACGTATCAAAATTATCAATCGTAATATAATATTTTGATAAAATAAAAGTCGATCCCACGAAGAACAGTTTCAATAAAAATTCTCAATCATGCTTACTAAGTATATTAAACAGATTGAGTTTTGCAAATAAGAGTTAAGTTGAATTTAAATAACAAAAAAATGTAAATTGTTGAGAAAATATCAATTAAAGGTACTTAGGATTGGTTTCTTTCCTTATCCCTCTTTTGTAATGACTATGTCAATTAAGAACGTCAATTAACCTAACAATGTTGATGTCACTACTCAAATCATCTATGTTGATTCCTCACACATGAAATTCATAAGAAAACCTAATAAATGTTGATTCCTCACACAATTAACAGATTTTCCAGCATTAGGGTTAGGGTGTTAAGCAATTGATACATTCATTCAATTCCTGACAATTAACGTAACAAATATTCTTACCGTGATCTAGGGTTCAAGATATATTTTCCAATCATACCTCAAATAATCAAGAATAAATCATTACAAAGCATGAAGGATAAGAATAACAACATCAAAGCATAGATTAAGATATCAAAATATCACCATGATACAAAAGAGTTCAAAGGAAGTGCACCGAATCCTAAGAGAATGAAGTTAGTCACTCATGTTGGTCATTACAATGCTCCAATTGATGAAAAAGTAAAGAATTTGATGAAAATTAGACAAAATCCTAATAGTAGTCGTGTCTCCTCTCCTCCAAGACTGCTTATTTTTCTCAAAACACAACTTATCTTTTTATAAGAGAATTTGGGTCGGGCCTCGCATCTTTCATTCACTTAAGCGTTCTTCTTTCTTTTAATTTTACTCCAATTATGCTGAAAAGTGTGCTCCTTTCTCTTGTATCAAGGTATTCTCGAATTCATCATATATTGGGAAGAAAAATATATTAGAATTAACATAAGTTAAATGATTTCATAACAATTCAAAACATAATTATATCAAATTTTCACCATTTAACATCAATCAAATGAAGACTATATTCATGTGTCTATATGAAATCATACAAAGATATACCACCAAAGGTATGTGTATTTCTGTACTTTACTGATCTTAAAATTCTTGAACCTTACAGTGTTTATTAAATCTCTAGTACTGCTATTTAACGTAATGAAATAGATCTAAAACCATTGATCAGAACATTGTGTGAACAAGAAATTATTTAATGTTAGAAAAAAAAAATGCACATATGCATGATTCATTTAAGAATTATTTAGATGCAAAATTAAAAAAAGCAAGTTTTTTCACTTCCAAATTATCAAACACTTCACCACTGTGTATTTAACAAGTAGTTGCTCAATCTTAATCCTTAATGAACAAATGAAGTAATACAACTAACTTTTTTGGCATATGGGTTGCATATGATAAAGGTAACCATTTTTTGAAAATTGAAGCCATGAAGGTGTCCTAGTCGTTTTTATTCCATTTATCAATCACCATCAAATGGTCTAGTTGTACTTCACTAGTGTTAGTACGTAGTGATCCGCTCTTGGTTTGTGACTATTCTGGAAATTGGAAGGTGTCACCAAAACTGTGCAATTATAGCATTGAAACTGTTAAGCTCGAAGTGGGTCTGTCAACGTACAAAACAAGGGTCCCTTCAATTAGAAGTTGATGCGCACCAAACCCTTTCATTATTTTCACCGCTACCCACAAAAAACCAAAACAGAATGACCCAAAATGGAGGCAATGTCTTCTGGTCTTAGATCATTCTCTTTCACCGACATATGTTTCAGTTATCTCCTAAAATCAACTTCATAAATAACCATCACACTTAGCGAAATGATGTTTTTTTTTTTCTTATATTTCTGAGTCTTAGCTACTCACTGTGCTTGTCAATGCCAATAATACCAAGTTGGTCTTCGAGTAAAAACAAAACAGGTGACCCAACCTAAGCAGAAATATAGGAAAATTAATATGGCACACGTTAACTTTTGTGCACCACATGCATCCTCTTTGGCCATAAGCTGATTTTTCATTTTACCATGTTTGAAAGGTAGTGCAGTTGTCTACCCTCTTTATAGAAAGGTTAAAATATCGAAGTCCGTGTTTTTTTTTTATTATTATAATCTCTAGTCGATGTTCACCAACTGCCTTATTTATCACGAGTCAAATATTGAAATTCTTCATCTCCAAATCACATTTTAACAGCCCCTTTCTTCTTATTGTTCATGTAATATTAATTTCATGGCTATTGTGTCTCGTAAACTTTTCCTCCTTCTTTTAACATTCTTCTTCTCATATACTATAGCTCTCAAGTCCTGCAATGCTTTCACAACATTTCATGCAAATCACACTTCCTTGAACAGAACAAACTCATTTCCTGAAGTTAGCTTCGATTCATCTAAGCTTTCCATCTCGATTAACATAAATCCAAACATCATCAACATCCTTCTTCAGTCCCTCCAAGCAGCAATTTCTGATGCAACAAAACTATCTGATCTATTAAACAACGCAGGACACTCAAGCATCATAGAGAACAAGATAGGAGCAGTCCAAGACTGTAGAGAACTTCAACAATCCACCTTAGCTTCCTTAGAACGATCACTATCAGGGATCCGTTCCCAAGACTCCAGAAAACTAGTTGATGCAAGAACCTACCTCAGTGCAGCCCTCAGCAACAAGGGCACGTGTCTAGAGAGCTTAGATTCCGCTTCAGGTACCCTTAAGCCAGTTCTAGTGGATTCTGTGATCAACTCTTACAAGCATGTCAGTGACTCTCTTTCAATGCTCCCTAAACCTGAGAAGAAAGCTTCCCAAGGACACAAGAACCGGCGTTTGTTGTGGTTGTCAAGAAAAAACCATCGCCTCTTGCAAAGCAATGATGGGGTGCTTGTTGTAGCTGCAGATGGAACCGGGAAGTTTAGCACCATCACTGAGGCTATCAACTTTGCTCCCAATAATAGCGTTGCTAGGACAATAATCTATGTCAAAGAGGGGAGTTACGAGGAAAATGTTGAAATCCCAAGCTATAAGACCAACATCGTTCTGCTTGGTGATGGAAAAGATGTCACTATTATCACTGGCAGCAGAAGTGTCGTTGATGGCTGGACCACTTTCAGATCTGCAACTCTAGGTAAACCCTTAATGGATAATGTGCCTGATATGCTGTATATTCTAACTCTATGAATTGATCACTTTGATTTTGTGTATTGACTATGTCCAATGCGTTTGCTCTGTGCCTGTCGCACTGACTAATTCGTTATCGTTTCGGCCAGGATAAATTTTTACCGTATGAGAGCTTCTATATTGTGAAACTTTAAGCCTTTTTTAATGACAATAATATTGAACTTTCTTAAGTTCATAGGTACTTGTAGAGAAGTGGGAGCTTCTGACAATAGTAGAGGTGCATAGCTTTATTTTAAATAAAGAAAAAAAAAATCAAGAAACGGTACTTGAGGTGTTATTAGTGTTAATTTAATCTTCGTAATAAGATTATCAGTGTAAAATGGCAATTGCATGACCACTGCCTCTTTCTCTTTTTCAGCGGTCTCTGGTGAGGGTTTTCTCGCACGTGATATTGCTTTTGAAAACAAGGCAGGGCCAGAGAAGCATCAAGCAGTGGCCTTGAGAGTGAATGCAGACTTCACTGCTTTCTACAGGTGTGCCATGTATGGTTACCAAGACACTCTTTATGTACACTCCTTTAGACAATTCTATAGGGAGTGTGACATTTTTGGGACCATAGATTTCATATTTGGGAACGCAGCAGTGGTTTTACAAGCATGCAACATTGTGTCCAGGATGCCAATGCCTGGCCAATTCACTGTCATCACTGCACAGTCCAGAGATTCTCCTGATGAGGACACTGGCATTTCAATCCAAAACTGTTCAATTCTAGCTACCACAGATTTGTACTCCAATTCTAGTAGTGTCAAGAGCTATCTAGGAAGGCCATGGAGGGTTTATTCTCGTACTGTGTACCTTGAGTCCTACATTGATGCATTTATTGACCCGGTGGGGTGGACCCAATGGTCTAATGATGAAGGCTTGGACACTTTGTATTATGGAGAATATGCCAATTATGGGCCTGGTTCAGGGACTGATAACAGAGTACATTGGGCCGGGTACCATCTAATGGATTACGACAGTGCCTACAACTTCACAGTTTCGGAATTTATTATTGGTGATGCCTGGCTTGGGTCTACTTCATTCCCCTATGATAATGGGATTTAATAATTCAAATAGAGAGAGAATTGCTAGTGAAAAACAAAACAAAGTTTGGTGTTTAATTGTAACATGACTTAAGTTATATAAGTTCCGTAAAAAGATGTTTCAAATGGTGACATATATATGTTCGTGAACTTTAGTTCTAAATAGTTTCAAGCTTTGTTACTACATATTTTGTATACTATTATCTAAGGTTAATGTTTTATCATAAACACCTTATATTATATAAATATGTACTTCAACCAAGCTGCTACGTGTGGTTTCTCTGCATTAACAAATTTTTTTTTTTTAAATCATAGCATTTTGGGAAAATGTTTTTTTGATTAAGTTTCCTACAATGCAAGGTACGCAATTAGATTTGAAAAAAAGGGGTTACAAATTCACAACCATTCCTTAGTGAGTGAGATGTATTCCACACATTTGGACGGTTTGACCGAAATTTAAGATCAGTTACAGAGCTAAACATGATCCTAGATTGGAAAAAGACAAATTTTAGGAGGAAGAGTGAATAAGAAAAGCCAAAAGTGCTACTTTACAGATAAAGCTTTCCACGTAGGGCTTATTTCAAGGGAAAGAAGGTGGAAACGGCGAGAGAAGAAAGTGGAAGATCGTTGGTTATTTGGAACACTGACAGAGCCAAGAATCTAAAATAGAAACACCTGAAATGTCTCTCATCCACACGTGCATGCAAAAAAATAACTTTAAAATTGGACGCGATGAAACATAGACAAGTTGTAAAAAGGAGTCAAAGGAACAGCATCCCTTGGATCTCTTTCTACCTTTCTTCTCCGCGAGTAGTTTCAATTTGAAGCTAAGGCAGAGAAGCTGACTCCTCTGCCTTAGAGAAACTCTCACAATGGCGTTTCAGGATTTTGATCTTATCTCAGAGCGGCGGAGAAATGAGAAAAGGCAAAAGATGAGGAAGAGAATCATTATCGGCGTGGTTTCTGTCATAGTCCTCGTCGGCATGATCGGTGCAGTTCTCTTCGTCGTGGTTAAGAACGACGACACTGGAAATAAAAAAAGCACTAACAACAAGTCACGTACTAGTCATGCACCGCCACAAGGTGCCTCCCCCAAGCAAAACGTTGCGCACTCGGAGAAGGTTGTGAAAGCGGTGTGCAGCTCAGCAGATTTCAAGGAGAGGTGTGAAGAGCCTCTGAACAAGGCCATGGAGTCTGACCCCAAACTCACGCAACCCAAAGACCTTCTCAAGCTCTACGTGAAGCTCGCTGAGGACGAGGTTTCCAAGGCCTTCAACAAGACCATCTCTCTCAAGTTGGAAACTGAAGAAGAGAAAGGAGCCTTTGAGGATTGCAAAAAGCTGTTTGAGGATGCCAAGGATGACATCGCAACCTCCATCTCTGAACTTTCAAAAACTGAGCTCAAGAACATATCTGACAGGACTCCTGATTTAAATAGCTGGCTCAGTGCTGTCATCTCCTTCCAACAGACCTGCATTGATGGCTTCCCTGAAGGAAACACCAAGACTGAACTTCAAAATCTCATGAAGGATTCCAAGGAATTTATTAGCAACTCCCTTGCCATTCTCTCTCAGGTGGCATCGGCTCTTTCAGTATTCCAAACAATTGCCTCCTCACATGGGCGCTCCTTGCTATCACAGATCTCCAACTCCCCAATCGCATCTCTGGACAAAACTGACGGCCTCCCTTCTTGGATGAACCTCGATGACCGCAGGATCTTGAAGGCCACAGATAACAAACCTAAACCTAATGTTACCGTGGCAAAAGATGGCAGTGGAAACTTCAAAACCATTTCTGAATGTTTAAATTCTATCCCTGCAAAGTATGAAGGACGGTAATTAGCCTCTCTCACGCTCTACCCCGTAGCTAGAAGCCTCTAGCTTATTTATATCTGCACGTATATTTGCTATCGTTTGAGGTATAATTATTATTGGGGTTTGAAAATGCAGGTATGTGATTTTTGTTAAAGAGGGAATATACGATGAGACAGTGAAAATAACAAAGAAAATGCAAAATATAACCATGTACGGTGATGGATCCCAGAAGACCATCATCACTGGTAACAAAAACTACAGGGACGGAGTCAGGACTTTCCTAACTGCAAGTTTTGGTACGCAGCATGTCTAAAACTAAACACCCTTCACCATGTGATGTATATTTTTATTATTATTATTATAAATGGGTAACATATTGTTTTGGCACATGCACGCGCAGTGGTAGAGGGAGACGGATTCATAGGCCTAGCAATGGGGTTCAGAAACACTGCAGGCCCTGATGGACATCAAGCAGTGGCTGCAAGAGTCCAGGCAGATCGTGCAGTGTTCGCCAACTGTCGTTTTGAGGGCTACCAAGACACTCTATACGTCCAAGCCCACAAACAGTTCTACAGGAGCTGCATCGTTAGTGGCACAATTGACTTCATCTTTGGTGATGCAGCTGTGGTGTTCCAGAACTGCATCATGGTTGTGAGGAAGCCAAATGACAACCAGCAGAACATGGTGACAGCACAAGGGAGAGAGGACAAGCAACAAGCCACTGGAATTGTGCTCCAGAAGTGCACAATCAAACCTGATGACAAACTGGTCCCAGTAAAGGACAAGATCAGGAGCTACCTTGGAAGGCCATGGAAGGAGTTCTCAAGAACCATTGTGATGGAATCAGAAATAGGTGACTTCATTCACCCTGATGGATGGACAGCTTGGAATGGAGACTTTGCTCTCAAAACATTGTACTATGCTGAGTATGGCAACACAGGACCTGGTGCCACCACCACCTCTAGGATCAAGTGGCCTGGTTACAAAGTCATCAGCAAGGAAGAGGCTTCCAAGTACACTGTGGGCTCTTTCTTGAGAGGCACATGGGTCCAGGGCACAGGAGTTCCCGCTACGCAAGGCTTGTACAATTAAATCTTTCCTTCACATTTCATACCAATTGATCAGTTCTTGCTTGCTTCAGCCTTTAGCTGCTGCTGCTGCTACATGTTGTTAGGCACACTTGAAAAAAAAGTTCATGGTGTTGCTCATTTTGATGAATTTTAATGTTTTTCATTTTTATCTTTCTTTTCAATCAATTTTTAAAAATATTTAATCTTCAATTGTAATCTTGCATTAATTACGGTGGTGGAGCAACTTTCACATGAAATTGTGTCACCAAATTGTTAAAGCAAATAGAATAACTTATTCTACTAGCGATTCATGTTGTTAATGAAACAAGATGGTTCTAAGTGATTCTCAAATGTCCATAGCTTTTATTTAGCTGTCAGATGAGGGCAAAATTCAATAAATTTAAAAACATTATATAAACATCTACAATAGAAAATTTATTTATGTATAAAATATCAAACATTATTTTATAAGTTATGATGATGAAGATTTTCACATTTTATCAAAAATCTTAAAATTAATATATATATATATATATATATAATGAAATGATTGGTAAAAACATCACAATTTATTTTTAGAATGAATATTAAAAAGTTCATAAATAATAAATTTTATTTCACGACTTAAAAAAATTGTTTTTAAAATACGATTTTTTTAACAATAAAGTCGTAATATGATTTTAATTATTTTTGTTTTTTAATAATTTGAAATTTTATCTTTTATTGAAATTGTAATTAAATATATAATTTAACTTTATTTTTTATATTTTATTTTTATATCTTAAAAATAATATTTTTTTATTATTAATTATTATAAATAATTATTATAATAATTAATATTATTAATTTTATTATCATTATTATTATAATAAAATTTAATAATTTTTATTATTATGGTTATTATTTTATTATTGGTAGTGGTATATTTAATTTTATTATTAGTGTTATTTTTTTAAAATGATAATAATAATGATAAATTTAATAAATAAAAATAATAATAATAACTTATAATTGTATGATAATAAAAATAAAATATAATTATAATAATAAATAATGAAATTAATAATATTAATTTTTATGACTTTTTAAATACCTATTTTAGAAATTTTGGAATAAAATTACACCAATATGGTGCTTATACCCCAAAAATTCAACCAAATTTGAATAAATGATATTACTTTTTAAATATTTTTTAGAAAAATAGTAGTAAGTAATTAACTTTACAATAAAAACTATAAATTTTTTATTTAATTGAATAAATAATATTTAAATAATAATATTTATACATTTAAATCTCAAAATAAATATAATAATCCATAATATATAACTAAATTTAAAAATTCAGTCCGTGTTTCGTCCCTGGCTGTCAAAGTATCAGATAAATAAAAATTACATAATTAAAATAATGTGTAAGTTTAAATTAAAGAAAAATAAATAAATTTACAAAATAACAATACTAAGATAAGCAACATAGTACCAAGTCTTTTATGTGTTACAATTATTATCATTGACTTTGAGTTCATTTTCTTTTATTCATTTAACCATTATTTAGTGTGTTAATTTTATTTAGATCACGTTCTCCATAAGCCTTCTTCTAGAAATAAAAAAAAAAACAAAATTAATTCTTTTATAAACTATAAATAATCTATTCATAAGTTAAATTTAGTTTCTTATCATTTAATTTTTTTTTCATAAATCAAAATCGGTTTCTTATAATTTAAACTTATTTTATGCATAAACTAACTTATTGGAATTCTGTAATTTTTGTTTGTATATAAGCAAATTATATATATATATATATATATATATATATATATATATATATATATATATATATATATTATAGAATGATGTATGGGTCAATTTTTCAAAAATAGATTCTTACAGCAGAGTGAATGAAAGTAATAAGAAAATAAACTATTTATTAACCTGAAACGTTAGACAAACTATTTTACGATATTTAGATCTCGGAAACTATATCTCAAAAAAAAAAAAAATCTCTTGCATTTTTTTCTAAAGTTCATGAACATGATACCATAGCTTTTTTATTGCATTAAGAAAATTTACGAAGCGAAATTCATCTTTATACAAATCTCGAGATATTAAAAACAAATAAAAATATAAGCATAAGTACTACATTGTCTTAAATATGTCTAGATTATGTGACAATGATTAAGTTATGATACTAGTGAGACTAGGAGGGTCTTTCTTAAAATTATTGTCTTATTAATTTTGAATGTTACTGATTTTAGGTTTAGCTATGATTATTACCACCATTCAGAGTAGAATACCAATTTAGATTCCTCATGAACAGAGGTAAATGTATGGCCAAACACCCTGTCATGTTGGGAAAGAAAAATAACTACAGTATTCCACAAATCTTTTGAAGATGACTACGAGGTTCTATTTGTTATTTATTTTACTGGAAAGTAGAATGCATGTAAGAAAAAACAGTCAATATGCCAAAAAGAACAAGAGACCAAGTTGAAACAAATTTTCGATATATAGTTGTCATGAACAAGTGTATGAACTTGTGAAACATAAGGTACGTAAAGGAGCTGTGGCCATTGGCTGAATCTATTTTATTCCTCACAGACAAAACAAATGCAAAGAGCTGTCATGGTCTATACACCATATGCAACTTCTGACAAACTCAAAGAAAGTTAGCCAAATAAGTCAAAAGTCACCTTCCAAAAAAATGTGTTGTTCTATTAGCAATCCTATCTGGCATCTACATTGTTTATTAATTTAAATGGATCAGTAGCTGATAGACATTTGTTTAAGTCTTGAATCTGTCTCTGTGTAGCAGTAACTTTTTTTAAGAAACCTAGATATTCCTAGCCAGGAATCTAAAGACTAATTTTCGTGAACCTCTAACATATATAACATTTATTATCTGCCATTGATATACACAATGTTAATAAATTAATGTGGTTACAACATTTATATATGGCACTAACACAGCCACCAAACAATCAGAACCAGAGATGGCATCAAGGGAAGCTTTTAACCAATGCTTGGTTCTCCCAATCTTGCTGCTGAATTGCTTTGTTTTGCTGGGTCAATGTGGGAGGCCACATAACACAGAAGGAGAGGATTTGGTCACAGAAACCTGCAAGCACACCCTTCATTTCCAAGTATGCATTTCTTCCCTAAGATCAGTCCCTAGTAGTAGCAAGGCATCAGATCTAAAAGTGCTTGCTGAGATAGCACTGAATCTCAGCACAGCATATGCTGCAGACACTTTGTCCTATGTTCATGAGCTGCAGCCTAACTCTTCTGCTGCCAATAACATTTACGTGTCCCGTTGCTTGAGGGATTGTGAAGAGGAATTCTCGGAAGCCATAGAGAATTTGCAGGACTCAAAGCAAGCACTTGGCAATGGAGATTGTGACCAAGTGGATACATTGGTTTCTGCTGCTATGTCTGATGCTCAGACATGTGAAGATGGCTTCAAGGACATGAAGAATGAGGACAGTTATTCCACTTCTCCTCTTACAGAGCGTAACCGTTACTTCTCTGAACTATGTAGCAATGCTCTTGCCATTACGAAATTACTAGTTTGAGTGAATCTTGTCATCTTGTTCGTCCGATGTGTTGTTATATCTCTCTCTCTCTCTCTATATATATATATATATATATATTCACGCATCCATAGACGAGTTATATTTCCTTTTCATTTTGTAATTTAATAATTAAAATTAGGTACAACTTTATATAATTATATTAAAAAAATAATAATTATCAAAATGAAAAATAAATCTTTAGTTTTCTTTTTTTTTTAAATGAATTCTCTATTATTCTTATATATAAAAAGATTTATTCAATTAAACAACAAGAATTACTAATTATTTTTTAATTTTAAATATAATAAAATATTATTTTTATTCAATAATTATGATGATTATTAGAGAAGTCATTCTTTAATATGAATTATTAAATGGTACATATTTATATACAGATGTGATCAGTAATATATAAGAAAATAATTATATTATCCTATAACATAAAATTAATTATTCATAATGAATAATTTTTATAAAAAATCATTTTTTTAATCTAATTGTAATTTGTATATAAGTTCTTAATTATTTTTTTCAATCAATTTAGATTTTATTTTTTTGATGTTAAAATCTAACTAAAACATTTTTAGATCTACATAAAGTATAATACTTTTTAAGAATGTAATTCTTATAAATGTAATATTATATTTATTATTTCAATTACGTATTCACAATAATAAAGACTCGTTTGCACGAATTTTGACAATTCAAGTCTGCATTTATTTTTCTTAATACAAACTTAAGTTCCTATTATTTTCAAATTCCATTTCTATTCAATCATCCTTTAATTAAGTAAGTCCTTATATCCTATTTACTTTTCTAAATTAAACAAATATATATAATTAAAAAGCACCAGAATCTTTTGAAAATAATCTTTATATTTACCCAAATATATATTAGGTATGAAATAATTTATTATTTCACTTTTGACCTTTGAAATTAAAAAAATAAATAAACAAAATGATATTCCGAATCAATATTTATAGACATACCAAAAATACAAATTATGAGATTGATGGATTAATACATGTAAACAAAGTCTTAAAAAATATAAAGCCAACTCTTCTCATTAATGTTAAAAACAAAGTCTTAAGAAAAATAAAACTCTAAAAGACTAAACATGTATAAACCTATAATAACTACTATCCAACTACTTATCTAATTAGTTTAGTTTAAATAAGAAAATAGACAATAGTTTTAATCTATTAATTTACATTTTGTATATTTCGTTTAGCCGGTCACTTTGGCGCGTCAAGAGTGGTACGCAGTGGTGAGTCACGGGTAGCTCTTGACCCAAGTTTTATTTTTATTTTTTTTAAATTATATATATTAAAATATTCACAAAATTAAATAAATTAAATAATTTTAAAAAAATTATTATAATATCATAATTTAAATAATAAATATTACTTAATTAAACTTAAAATATTAATTATAATAAAAAAATTTAACAAATTAATCTTATATATAATATATTTAAAAAAATATTCTAAAAATTTATCAATTTATATATTTAGTTAGATATATTTATTATTTACATATAACCTTTTGTCTCGCAGTGTTTTCTCATAATTTGTTTTTTCATTTCATTTTCTTCTTTCATTTATTTTTTTCAAATAAAAATAATATATTAAATTTTAATAAAGACATGTTAAAGTATTTTTTAAAACAATTAATATTAAAATTAAAAACATTAATTATTTAAATAATAATAATAATAATAAATTTAAAATTATCATAATAAATCAATTATTCATCTAACTAAAAAATAACAAATATTTATAATTATTTTATTTATTTACAATATAATCTACTCAGTTAATTTGAGTTATATTAATTATTAATTACATTAATAAATTTTAAATAATTATTAAAAAATACTTTAAAATAAATATTAAATTTATTTTTTATTAATTATAATATAATAATATTTGTAATGTTAATATATTTTTAAAATAATATATAAAATAATAATACTTTTAAATAATTTAAATAATTTATTTTCTAAAGATTATAAAAGATTAATTTTACCAATTTAAATATAATTATTTTAATTAGAATAATAAGACAAAGTGAGAGATGAAAAAAAAAAACAATGAACAATGAGAGAAAATTAGAAAAAAAAGAATAAGCAAGAAAAGAAAAATATATTATGCTATGTCACATAATTTTATTACATATCTAATTGAATAAATAATCTAATTTAGTTTTTATTTAAAATATATTATTTATAAATTGATTTAATTTTAACATTTAAAATATAATAATTTTATGAATTTATTTAATAAAAGTATAAATAAATAAATAATTTAAAACAAATATTTATATAATTAAACACATAATATATATATATATATATATATATATAAGATAAATTATTAGTTAAAAAAAATATGTCAATTGATAAGTTGATTAAAATATTTTTTAAATAATAGAATAAATTTCTTCTAAATTTAGTGAACTTTAAATTAAATTGAATATATTTTAAACTTTTAATAAATAAATAAATTACATACATATCGAGATGTTTATAGTTATTTTCAAATTACAAGTTTTTTTTTATATATTCAAATAAAATTAATTATCTTGAATTGGATAAAACTTATGTAAACAAAAAAAATTGTAAAATATAAGTAACTAATTTAAATAACATAAATATAACTTACATATAAACATGTAATGTAATGCTATTAATAAGTACTAATAGAAACCATTTAAAGAAAATTAAAAGTCGTGAAACTAAGTTTAGAAAACTAGAAAATAATGATTTGTGTATGGTGTGAACCTTAGTAACGCTGCGCTCATTCTTGGTTTCCGGAGCGAGACGCGCACTCAATTCCGTGAGGACGGAATTGACGATCGTGTAATCACGAGATTCAAGAGTGGGAATGAGTTAGTTAAGTTCACGAGATTTCCAAAGAGCGGAGAAATGAGTTAGTTAAGTGGCTAACGCTCCGCGCTCATCCTTCTAGAAAATAATTATATTTTGTATTGTTGTCTGTGTTTAAACTTTTAATTATTTAATTAATAATAAATAATTTATTTTTGAGGTAATATTCTGTTTAGCTTTTTCATTTTGAGCTTCTGGTGCAAGCTTCTTGGATGGAGGGAGGATTTATTTTCGCGCCTTTGCAGTGTTTTTTAAAATCCTCACCCCACTAACCCACTTCTCCCAATTTTCGTTCTTCCCTTCCTCCGTTTCGCTTTGTTCTCAGACACTGAATCTCTGGGGATCGGAATCAGATGTCGGCAACCATGGAACAGCAACGCCACCAGAAAACGCCCCAACAAGAGGACGAAGCCGAAGAGATGCAACATGGCCCTTTACCCGTCGAGCAACTTCAGGTTCAATCCTCAACACCCCCACCCTTCACTTCTTTTCCTCAAAAACCCTTTCTTTTTCATCTTTTCACCAACCCCACTAACCTAATTTTCCCGATTTCATTTTCCCGCATTTAATTGTCATCTTCATTACTTTAGGGCAAAAAAGCATTCCTTTTGTGTTTGTTTTACCCTAATGCTTAATTATTGTCCCAGGCATCAGGCATTGCCGCCACGGACGTTAAGAAGCTTAAAGACGCGGGCATTTGCACCGTTGAATCAGTTGCTTACACGCCTAGGAAAGACCTTTTGCAAATCAGAGGTATCAGTGAAGCTAAAGTCGACAAGATCATTGAAGCAGGTAAACAAACAACTCTACCCTTATTTTTCTTATTGCCCATTTTTTATGATTGTGAAGGTATCCTCTGTGACGTTTTGTTTTTATTTTGTTGTTTATTGACAGCTTCTAAGCTGGTGCCTATGGGGTTTACCAGTGCTAGTGAACTCCATGCCCAGCGTGATGCAATCATTCAGATAACCACGGGATCGAGAGAGCTTGACAAGATATTGGAAGGTCAGAATCAGAAAAAATGAAGACATGTTTAGTGTTTTAGTGTGTGTGGGTTTGGAACGTTGTCAATTTCGTTGTTGGAGTGTCTGACTTGATATGGCTGATTCTAACAGGTGGAATTGAGACTGGTTCTATCACTGAGTTATATGGTGAATTTCGATCTGGGAAGACTCAGTTGTGTCACACTCTCTGTGTCACTTGCCAAGTGAGTAGTTTAGATCCTTAAGCTCCTATGCTCCAGAATGGTTACTCTGCACTCGTTGTTAAAAATTGAGTTTGTGAAACTTTTGCTTGATATCTATCTGTAATTGTCACATCTTTACCAAATCTTTCATTTTTGTTGATCGAGTAGTTGCCACTAGACCAAGGAGGGGGAGAGGGTAAAGCTATGTACATAGATGCAGAGGGCACATTTAGGCCTCAGCGACTCTTACAGATAGCTGATAGGTATAACGAATGATTCTTTTTGTGATTTTGCTGCTACCCTGTGTATATAGTATGTGCAATGGATTCGGCATTAATGTTTCTCAGTGCTGCAGGTTTGGATTGAATGGTGCTGATGTATTGGAAAATGTTGCTTATGCCAGAGCATACAATACTGATCATCAATCACGGCTTCTGCTTGAAGCAGCTTCAATGATGGTGGAAACAAGGTGTGACTTGCAATGGTTCTCTTTGCTCAATTATTTTATGATCTTCCCAAAACTATATAATGTGTCTTTTAAATATGAAGAATGTTGCACAAGGGTATAATACCATAATTATTAGTTCTCATATTGCTTTATCACTTACCTGATAAAGTGTTTTATTCCATCTTGTCTTCTTATGCTAGAGCTGTAAGATTTTCCTTAACTAGTGATATTGATTGTGGAAACACTTTTTCGTTTAGCTAGCAAAATAAAGCTTCTTGATGCTCTCATTTTGATTGTTCATGCACAGGTTTGCTGTAATGATAGTAGATAGTGCTACTGCCCTCTATAGAACTGATTTCTCTGGAAGGGGGGAGCTTTCAGCCCGACAAATGCATCTAGCAAAGTTCCTGAGGAGCCTTCAGAAACTGGCAGACGAGGTAAAACTTGAGCTGGTGGTGCAGCTATCCTTCTAGGTTTAACTAATTTAAGATTCTGGCTTGGGATGTTGAATTATCGAGCATACTATGTTTGGAGTTAATTCTTTTTCTGATTCTCTAACTGTAGTTTGGTGTGGCTATTGTCATAACTAACCAAGTAGTTTCACAAGTAGACGGTTCAGCAGTCTTTGCTGGACCTCAAATCAAGCCTATTGGAGGCAACATTATGGCTCATGCAACAACAACTAGGTATTAACTTGAAATACTAGTTGTTTAGGTTTAGTTCTTCTCTGAGCTCCTTCTTACCCTCGATTTTAATTGATGACAGGTTAGCTCTCAGGAAAGGGAGAGGAGAAGAGCGAATCTGTAAAGTGATAAGCTCTCCCTGCTTGGCTGAAGCTGAAGCGAGGTTTCAGATTTGTGCTGAAGGGGTTTCAGATGTTAAAGACTAGCCAATTTCAGCATCTTTCAAATTTTACTTTTTTCCTGTTTCCTTGCGTTTTTTGTAAGGTATATATAACAGCTTATTTGCCACTATACGGTATAAAATTTTGCAAATTTTTTATTTTGGTGGCCAGTTCGTATCGTTGTTTTTTTGTGATGTCGATATTAATAATTTGTATTGTAGAGTTCGGTTACGATGAACCAGATATCCGCCTATTAAACATCAGTATTACAAATAAATATAGAATCAACAAAGTATACACGTCACAGGTATTAAATTGATGGGTTGTTACGCCAATTATAACAACATGAAATCCAGGAGAAATATAAGAAATTTTTTCTCAATGACGATAGGAAAACTTGATAAACCTAAAAGGTATATATTATAAGACAATAAATTTTATTTATTTATTTATTTATATATTACTTTATCTGTGGAAATTGTGACTTTTTTACTAAAATAATATTATTATATTATATATATACATAACATAAATTATAATGAAATTATTTATGTAATCTAACCTCTTATTAAATTATTTACTTAACTTATCCTCTTCTACCATTGTACTTGGAATTTAGTTTCTCATAAACTAAATTCCAATTTTAAACTTACCATTTTTTTAAAATAAAAAAATTAAATAAAATATATAATTAAAAATAATAAAATTAATATTAAAAATAAAATTTTAATTTTAAAATTTAAATAATATTTATATAAAAAATAATAAAAATAATATATTATTTAAATATATATTAAATTATTTAAATAATTATTAAAAATATTAAATAATAATTTTTTATTATATTTTTTTTAATAGGAAATTTAAAATTTATATATATTTTTATTATATGAACTATTTAAGTTATAATTTTAGAAAAAAATAGAAGAAATAAAAATTTAATTTAGGTAATATATTAAAAAATTAAATATTATATTATAAAAATTTATGTAATAGTTTTTATTTGATAAATTATAAATAATATTAAAAAAATCATGCTAAAATTAATTTTTTTAAAATAATAAAGTAAAAATATTATTTAATTAGTTAAAAATTATTATTATTAATATAAAATAAACTTATAAATAAAAAATAATAAAAATTGACAGAATTTAATGTATAATATTAAAAATAACATAATCATTGATAATAAAAATTGAAAAATAAAATTATTGACAATAATGTTAAGAAAATTTTAATCTCAAAAGTGGTGTCAAGTTCCACAACGAGAACGACGTCTATTACGTTTTGGATTTCGTCGGTGTGATTGTTCTTGAATTTCAGGAGAAATTTGTAGAGAGTTTTCTTCTTCATAAACCTCTATTATTTTCACTCTATAAAAATCTTTCTACCTTTATTATTTTTCTTTAATATTATGTTCTATAATTTTTATTTTGCTACTAATAACTTATTTTTAATTTTACTTTTAATATTTTATATATTAAATTTATCAATTTTTTTCTAAAATTATAACTTAAATAATTCATATAATAAAAAAATGTATAAATTTTAATTTTCCTATTCAAAAATAAAATAAAAATATAATAAAAAAATATTATTTATTATTTTTAATAATTAGTTAAATATATTTAAATAATTTAATATGTATTTAAATAATATATTATTTTTATTATTTTTTATATGAATATTATTTAAATTTTAAATTAATTTTATTAATTTTAATTATATATTTTATTTAATTTTTTATTTAAAAAAATGGTAAGTTTAAAGTTGGAATTCAGATTTACAAAAAACTAAATTTCAAGTACAACTGCAAAAGATGTTCGATTAAGTAAATAATTTTATGAGAGGTTCAGTTAAGTAAATAATTTTATGAGAGATTATATTACGTGTATATATAATATAATAATATTATTTTAGTAAAAAAGTCCACTTCTATGTAAATATAAAATTATTTGTAAATTAAGTAATTTTTAACAATATAAATATTAATTATCTTAATTTATCTAAGTTTAATTTACCTTTTTTATATGTGTTTTAAATGAAGTATTAATTAATTAAAATTTGAGGAAATTTGGTGCATTTTTTAAAATTTCTTTATTTTCAAATATTTTTAGTTGTTATCAATTTAATTTATTAAATTAAAATTGTAATAAGAAGACAAACCTTGCAACGCACACAAGCCACGGTAAACTGAGAAACAAAACGCTGCGTTTGGTGCGGAAGACTCAAACTGGTAGCTGTTCACGTTGATATGTAAGGAAGCAGGCACAGGGAAAGAAGAAAGGAAGCAGAAGCAGAGCGAAGCGGTGACAGAGGAAAATGGGAAGCAGGGGTCCACCTCAATCTCTTCCGAATTCCGCTGCCATTTCCAAGGGTTACAACTTCGCTTCCACTTGGGAACAGGTTTCCTTCCACAAAATTTTCCTTCTCCCATCCAAATCACGTTTCCATTTCTGTGTTTTCGCTCTTTCCTCGCCCTAGTTACCTCGATTTCTCAGATCTTGTATTTTTCATCTGCATTCTCATTCAATTATTATCACATCATGTTAATTAATCTCTTTGCTTGCCAATGAATCTCACTCCGTCACGGATCAGATCTGTGATTTTATTTGCAGTTATTTGATTTCTGAAGTGAATTATATTTTGCAGAATGCTCCTTTGACAGAGAAACAGCAAACTGCGATTGTGTCTCTCTCTCACGCGGTTTCTGAGCGACCGTTGCCTCTCAAGTTGGTAAGCTTTTGCCATTTATATGTAATTGATATTCTCTCGAAACAATTTAAATGTAATTCTTGCATTTGTAGGCTCAAGAGAATGCGTCGGTGCAAGAAAATGCGTTGTCCGTTAAAGCGAAGGATAGTTCCTTCGATGACTCCGGTTCTATTGAGACTGTTATGGTCAATACCAATCAGGCAAGTCGTCTGTTCAATCTGGTTTGTGGCTTTGAATGCTTTACATGATTTTTTATGACATGGTTCATATTTTTTGTCTTTGAATTTGATGCAGTTCTACAAATGGTTTGCGGATCTCGAATCTGCGATGAAATCAGAGGTTAGTAGTTTCTATTGTTGTTATGCCGCCATTGTTTTAGATTCTGTTTATTTTGATTGCGCACTCTTAGTTTAGTTTCCAATTGTAGACAGAAGAGAAATATCAACATTACGTGAACACTCTAACAGACCGCATACAGACATGTGATGAAATTCTCCAACAGGTTATTTTCTACCTAGGTCTAGTGGGTTAGTTGTGGCTATCTAATTTGGTGACTATTATTTTCTGATTCGGTTTTCTGTTTGGACGACTTGACCTCATGCAGGTTGATGACACCCTGGACTTATTCAACGAGCTACAGTTGCAGCATCAAGCTGTAGCTACAAAGACTAAAACGCTTCATGATGCATGCGATAGACTGGTATGGTTTTGTTATTTATCACCCTACATCTTTTTTATTTTTTTTATGTGTTTAATTGAATGATTGCAAAATTCATATTGTAGGTAATGACTGTCAGTGATATGTTCTCTTAATCCTTTAATAATGACCACACGAGTTAATGTAAATGTTAAACTAATAAATCAGGAAAACCAGTTAATGGAACCGGAATTTTAGGTTGCTTGGCTTCTTTCTCTGTCACGAATGATGGTGAAAATCTTTGGTCTAGTATACATGAGTTGCACTCCACACATTTTATTTGATCTATTATTCCTATTAGGGCTTTTGAATTTATGATATTTTCTTAGTGATTTCTACTGAAATGACTGATTTGCTCACAATGTTTTCCCTATTACAGCTACAAGAGAAGCAAAGACTAATTGATTTTGCAGAAGCACTTCGCAGTAAACTCAATTACTTTGATGAACTGGAGAATGTAAGGTTTGACTGCTGGCTTGACTGGATCTTTTCTTGATTTAATTTTCCATCTTTACCTTTTATTTGGTTTAATTATGTAAATAGCATGGTAAGTCTTGAAGAATGTGAGCATACTAGTAGGACATACAAAATTTATATATTCCTACAACCTAATAATATCTGCCACTGAAAGGGGCTGTTTTGGTGGACATCAGGATGGTGCAACGATGAGTACTAAGACTAGTTGTGTCCTGTGGAACATGTAATAAAAGAGGGAGCATTTTATATGTTTTCTGACATTGTGAAACTGATTAACTCGTACTTGCCTAAAATTAATGATTTTTTAGTTATTTTCTAATAAATGAGATATATATGGAAACATTTAGTATGAATTTCAGAAAGGTTTTATGTTGGAACATTTTTCTTTCTATTTTACTTTTGAAATTTCTATTATCATACACATAATTTACATTTGTGTTTTTTTGCCTGGGAATATATTTTGTTTTGGTGTGAACACGTTATGTTCTACAACCACTTAACTGATATAATTACCACTTCGTCAATGTTAGCGTTGAAAAATAAAGTACCTGTTGCTACTGCTTTCATATCTACATGCTATACTTATTGAGCATGCATCTGCTGATATGTCTTGTAGTATTTTTTTAACTTAAAAATTGAAGTTGTATATATTTTCTTTATGCAGAGAATTTGGAGCTCTGTTTAGAGGTTGCGTAAAACTGCAAGTAGTTATTATTTAATAAGTTATTTATATGGTTTGCTTAAATTCTTTCGTACAGGTTGCTACCAATTTTTATTCTCCAAACATGAATGTTGGAAATGAAAACTTTCTCCCGCTTCTCAAACGACTTGATGAATGCATCTCGTGAGTAAAATTCCAATTTCATTCATTTAATTTGTACATTTGGCATGTTCAAATGTATAGAATAATGTCCTTAAGTGATGTAACTTAAGCTTTTTCTGCTTCTATATTTGAACAACAAATGATCATTGACATTTTTATTTTTTAATTAAGGTATGTTGAAAGCAATCCACAGTATGCAGAATCTAGTGTTTACTTGCTTAAATTTCGGCAACTCCAGGTATAAAAGTTTTACTGCTAGAAATTGTTAATTTACTTTATCAAAATATTTGTTCTATGTTTGATCTCCAGTCTATAGCTAGAACTGTCTTATGGTAACTCATACTTGATAGATATTTAAGCATTAGTAATTTGGAAACATTGTTCCTTTTTTGTAGTCTCGAGCATTGGGCATGATGCGCTCTCATGTACTTGCGGTTCTTAAAGGTGCCTCTTCTCAGGTGAAGTTAGTTTAACAAGTTGAGTGGATAATATATGCAGATATATGTATTTTACAAGAGTACAAACATTTAAAATAATACTATAATGTACTTTTAAACATACCTCAAAATCAGGTCCAAGAAGCAATCCGAGGAAGTGGGGGTGGCAATGCATCTATCTCTGAGGGAGTAGAGGCATCTGTTATATATGTTCGGTTCAAGGCAGCAGCAAGTGAGGTAAGGTTTTCCATTTGACTTAAATCTTTGAATTTGAAAGTCTATTGTAGACAGAAAAGACAATGATCACTTCAATGAAGAAGCTTTCTCCAGCATATCTCTAGTTCTTCTTGTTGCAGCTGGTTAAGAATTGTAACTTTTGCAGCTTAAGCCACTACTTGAAGAGATTGAAAGCAGGTCTTCAAGGAAAGAATATGATCAAATCCTTGCAGAATGTCACAAACTATACTGTGAGCAACGCCTCTCTTTGGTGAGAAAATTACATGCTTGGTCATTGTATGTTATCTGTAATATTTTTTTCAAAATTATTTAGTCAAATGATTACAAGATTCTTTATATCATTCCATGTAGATAAGAGGTATAGTTCAGCGGCGAATATCTGAGTTTGCCAAGAAGGAGTCCTTACCATCATTGACTAGATCAGGATGTGCTTATCTCATACAGGTACTGTATTTTTTTAACATTTAATATCATGATGTCTTTTTATTGATATTGGTCATTGATGTTAAATATACAGTGGTATCACTATCATATTTATGTGTCCATATTGGCTATAGAGTTTAGACTGCTAAAAGTGGCAACACTCAGAGTCGTAGCAAAATGCAGAAACTGGGTGTAATTGTGAAAAAAATAAAAAATAAAAGATGAAGAGATGCATTATGGGTGTGGTTATTTAGAAATATTACTGACGGTCAGTTTACTTTTGATATCCTAGTCTCTTAACTTACATTTGAATTGGGGAAAGATATTGTTGGTAGTTTTGGGGAAAAAATGAGGATGAAAATGTTTATTTTATTCTGAATAAATATTTATTTTTAAAAAAATGGAAATAGATAACAATTGAACGCCAAAATTGATCATTGTGCTTTGAATTGCAAATTGTCTGATGTTTTGCACTGAAGATGTCCAGGAGTTAATTTAGGCTGGTTCAAAGCTTTCATTTTGATCTTGTGCTTTGCTTAGCTGTCCTTTTGTGCACATTGAAATTCTTGCTAGTTTTATATCCAATTTATTTTTGGTATATATTTATACACAATATTATATATTAGGTCCTTGATATCAAACATATTGTAGGTCCTTGATATTAAATATAGTGTTACTTGTCACTATAAATTATTCTAAACCTAGTTTTCCACGGGTTTTTTTGTCTTTTATTAAAAATTCAACGATTTTCATATTCTGAGGAAGTTTTTGCTAAAGATGTATAACAACAACCAGACCTTATATATCATTATGTGGAGCCAATGATATGGATAAATTAAGGTGATTTTGTTCAATCAAAAACCAAAATTTCAATAAACCAATTGAGAAAGTATTTTATAATTCTGTCTTCTATGGTTTCTTAGATCTTCCACTACCCTTTTTAATTGTACTATCTTACAATTTGATCTCCTTTTTCTTGGTATTTGCTTTGAAGTCTGTTCTTCCTTTGGGAAAGATAGATTTATTAAAATGTTTTTACTATAATCATGTTTCTGGTTTAGCTTAAATATTTTGCAGTGTTGTTTAATATTTTACTTAATAGGTGTGTTAACTTCTTTTGTTTTAAAAAAAATTGAGTTGCACAAAATAATTATAAATCTTCCTAACCATTCAGTTAGTTATCATTTTGTTTAGTACATAGGAAAAAAAAGCATATAATCTTTCTCAACTTCAGTACCAATATTGCCTTGTAATTCCATCTGTTAATGTTCTTAATTGTTTTTTGTTAGTTCATCTTTGTTTTCGGCAAACCATGTGTTAGGATCCAATTGTAGGAGTGGGAACATTGTAAGTATGAGGTTTATAAGGCCTTAGGCTCTCTCTAGCGACAGCAATTAGCTTTTGTGTTGTTCTCTCAAAGATCTTATTAATTGGTATTTAGAGCCTTCCATCATGCCTTTCAACTGCAACTTAGTTACTTGAGTGGTGATGTGAACATTATGTTGTTTTGCCTGGAACTAGTCAAAGGACTACTATGTGGCCAGCTTGCATGGTGGCAATGATTGCATAGCATGGTAACTTTGTAGAGAATCCAATTGCAAGGTCTGGGAGTTGAGTCCTACGATGGAAGTATGATATTCTAGTGTGAAATTTACAAGGCCTTAGGTTTTCCAACCATGATGTCTTGCTTTTGTGGTGCGGACCTTCCAATTCCCAAGATTTTTATAACCATGAAACCAGCCTAGTCATTGATTAACTTTGTAGTCTTCCAAAACTGAAAGTTGTGGGGTTTATTTGTTAGTTGAAGCGAAAGGCAGCTGGGGGGGTCCAGGGGAACTAATTAACTATATTTTCCTTACAGATACAATATTATAGACAACAGCATACAGATTTTCAACAGAAGAACAAATGCTAATCATCGTGTGATTATTCTATTTATTTGTTAGATATAAACTTTTAAGGGTGTTACTTTGTATGCAGGAAGTCTTATAGGTTGTAATTTGTGCAGGTCTGTCAACTTGAACACCAACTTTTTGATCATTTTTTCCCAGCTTCTTCAAAGGATATTTCAAGTTTAGCTCCATTAATGGATCCTCTGTAAGTTTGTATTCCTGCCAATAAGAATACCTGTTTTTTTTTTCGACAGAAGAAACATTCATTAGAGGAAAGAAAATAAATCCTCTTAGCGTGAGAGAATAAGAACAAAATATTAGTACAAAAACAAGGTCTTATCTAATTATTCCTATTGTTCGTTTCGTTTTCACTTGATATCATGAGAGTTGGAATTCACTGTTCTCATAGTCATCGATAATTGGAAACGAAAAGGAGCTTTCACATCATGGACAAATAGCTTCTTTTTGTGTCTTAGTACATAACCAATGAGTTAAGGTGCTTCCCATGATATCATTATTTATGTCCCAAGTGCAAGAAATCTTTGGGAGTGTGCCTAGGTAAGATTCTTGGGATGCAACACATCCAGATTCCTGATAGTTTTTTATCAGCGAAGTGAAGCAGCATTTGTGTGATATATGTTCAACTTGCTATCTGGCACATTCCTTCATTTTTAGATACTTATCATTTTATAAGTCCATCTTCCTCATTATCTGTTTATTTGTTTAATGTGGATGTTATTGTTTAAAAGAAAAACTTTCATGTGTATTGCAGTAGTGTCTGCAACTCATGATTTCATCAATTTTGTTTGCAGATCAACATATTTGTATGATACACTGCGTCCCAAACTTGTTCATGAAACAAATATTGATTTTCTTTGTGAACTTGTTGATATACTTAAGATGGAAGTCCTGGGGGAACAGCATAGTAGGAGGAGTGAATCACTAGCTGGTCTTCGTCCTACATTTGAGAGAATTTTAGCAGATGTCCATGAGCGATTGACATTTCGTGCCCGGACTCATATTCGGGATGAGGTAGGCTACTAGTTTTATTTTACTTATTATACTTTGTTTTCTCTTCATAGTTCTTTGTTTTAAATGTTGAATATATTTCTTTTTGTTGGGTTTTGTCCCTCTGGTTGTTTGTTCTAGTCAATACTGAAAGGCAAAAAATAAAAGACATTTGTGTCAATTTACATCAACCATGACAAGTAGAATGCTAAACAAAAGTTTGTGCCATCATTTGCCAACCGCTACTATGATTGTTGTGTTGTTGTCCTTTACTGTGAATGAAACACACTCATTGACTCAATAAGATGTATTTAGATGATTGAAATAAATGATTTTCAGTCTTCAGAATTACATTGTCAGGTTAAATGTACTTTTTCTATTTGATTAGTGGTTGACAAATTTATGGCTCACCATATTTAGTTCCTTGAGGTGATTATTATAATAATTTTTTTTTCTCATATTTCGGTTTTTGGGAATTGCAGATAGCAAATTACATCCCAACTAATGAAGACTTGGACTACCCTGAAAAACTTAAAATATCTGTTGAAAGTACTTCTGAGATCAATCCTGTAAAGTTTCTTCCTTTGCAATTTTTTGTTTTTTGCTTGGTGCAGATATTCTGCCGTGAATTTTTTCATGGTGATGACTACTATATGCTGATTTTTTCTATGGTAATGCTTATTAAATTTATTTAGTAATTTGACTTCTGGTGTTTTGTTTGCTTTATTAGTTTCAGTAATGTGAACGTGGTGACAACGACAATTGATTCTTTTTTGTTTTTTTATTATGTCACCATCCAAACATTACCTTTTATGATCTGGAAACTGATATGGCTTACAGGATGTTAAAATCTGATAATTGGAATATTCATGATACCTTCTGATGAATCAATATTTTTCCCAACCCCATCTTTGTTTTGCCCCCTATTTCACCAAGAGAGCAAATTTGTCAATTAATTAGTGAATATTTCTTGTGTTTGTTGCGCACATATGTGCTTGTTGCACACATATGTGCATGCATGGCACTGTGATTGTATCATATTTCCTGTTTTTTAACATGCTGGATACCTCAACCAGACTTGTATTTATTTTGTGTTGCTGGATACTTTCATAAGTCACTTGTTTGACAAATTGATTTATGCAGATAGTCCTAGATTTAAAAATTGTTTGTCTTTCATCTTCTGTAATTTGCAATCTGCAGGCTGATGACAACCCAGATGTATTTAAAACATGGTATCCACCCCTGGAGAAAACTCTATCTTGTCTTTCAAAGTTGTATCGTTGTTTAGAGTCTGAAGTTTTCACAGGTTTAGCACAGGTATTAAAGGTTTCACTTAAACTATTTTTAGTCTCTCCTCTCCCCAAATTCATCTTTCTTTGAATAATATATTAATGATCTGCTTTTGTTATTTCAATCAGGAAGCAGTGGAAGTTTGCTCAACATCTATTCAGGTATAATGTCATGATTTAATTAAATATAAATATCATTAAGAAGGAAATATCTGATTACCTGTATCGGGCCATATTATCTTCTTTTCCCCTTGTATTGAAGAAGTGCATTCGAACTGGAGGAAGGGAAAAACAGTACAAAAGGACGGATGATACAGAATCCTCAAACCAGATAAGAAAAGCAAAAGATAGATTGACAATAAAAGTTCCTATAGTTTAATTAGTGTAGAAGAGCTGTCCAATCTTTTTGCACGTTTGAAATGCTACTACGCAAAATACATACACTAACACCTAGTGATATTCACAACCCTATTCCAAAAGCAGATTTAATTGCGGTGATACATTCTTGAACGTACACTCACTCCTTTCCAGCTAGAAGTCCAATAATTCACACATTGGGATGATGTTTTGCTTTCCTTCTTTTTACCAAACCTTGAATGGAACGTGAGGAAACTGATTCAATAAACTGGACTCAACTTCTTACCTGAAATAAAAAAAAGGATTATAGCTGAAAAATGGAGGAAGGAAAAAGCAAAGTTCCTGACTCAGAACTGCACAAAACATACTTTAGGATAGATAAATTTGTGGGGCAGTCAAGCCTGCAACATTTCATTAGAAATGGAGCTTTGTATTCTAAATCAGGGCATGCTATCCCTTTTTCTTTACATATATAAAAAGATTTTTCATTGGGGAAGAATGGAACAGTACAAGGCTAGAGGATAAGTCTTCCTCTAACAAAATAACAAAGGGAAACGCCTAGGAACTAGAAGATTGGGTCAGTAACATGGCATGCCACTATTTCTGTATGTATTACCAAAGAAACATTTCTATAAATCAATGAGCAGAACACCACAGACAAGCTAGAAAAATAATGCTGTCCCAATTGCTGATGTAATCCCCAGGTCTAATTTCTGTTGAAATCCTGAAAATATCATTCTAAAGAAAATTTGCTGAAGAACTGCAAAAATGGTTGAGTCCTAGAAAGAACAGCTGCATACGTATTAGGACCTAGGAGGCGAAGCAGGGAGAGGTCTGAACTTTTGTGGAGCATGTTATCTGTTGATCATGGTTATTTAAATTTGATCATGGATATTTTGTTGTGACTGACGTGTTTCTGTTTTCTGCTTCATCTTGTCTGCCGCAGAAAGCTAGCAAATTAATTGCAAAAAGATCATCACAAATGGACGGGCAGCTCTTCCTTATAAAGCATCTTTTAATTTTAAGAGAGCAGGTAATCCTGTGTCAGACTTTCTTTTGTAACTATTTAGTAGATTATATATAATTTAAGTAATTTTTTATGGTCTTCCAGATTGCACCGTTCAATATTGAATTTTCAGTCACACAAAAGGAGCTTGATTTCTCTCATTTGCTGGTTAGTGTTTCATAGCCCAATAATATATTTTGTGAGCTGAGTTTCTGTACACTGTCATTCTGACTTCAAACACTTGTCAAATTTGCACTCAATTCTGTCTACTGTTATGTTTAGGGCTCTGAATTGATGTTGCTTCTTATATGGTCATGATTTTTATCAAATGAGGCTTATAACTTTGAATGAGACTGAGTACTATTGCAATTTTACCTGTGCCTGGAGCCAATGACTAAATATTCTAATTACCAAAAGGAAGCTACTTTAGAGTAGAAAAGGTATTAACAGAAAAAGAAGATAACAAGTATACTAGGGTTAGGATAAGATATCTTAAAAGGTCTGAAAAAAGATTGGAACAATAGAGAACAAAGGATGACAAACTAAGGATACTTGGGAAGCAATAGGGGAGCCCAATCCCTCTGCAAATTGGTTGACCCTTTCCCAAAACAAATTTAATCAAGTAAAGATGCGTACTTTTTTTTTTCTGTAAGAGAAATGTGTCAGTGTCGCCCAATAGATAGTTATCATAAAACGAACAAAGAGGAAATTCAGGAAGTAAAATTACCTTCATGCTTGTTCTTAATCTTTTTTATTTGCACATCCTTAGATCTATCTCAATGAGTATGTGGATGCTGTGTAAAGAGTTTTTTAATCGCGGACTTTGCCTACTAATATTGTCATCATGTCATGATTTGATTTGATTTAATTTTTTTTTTTTTTGCTGATTTAGCTTTAGTATCACTAATATGTTATACCTCTATGAATATTGAATATGGTTCAGGAGCATCTACGAAGACTTCTAAGAGGTCAAGCCTCACTATTTGACTGGTCAAGATCAACTTCATTGGCAAGGACATTATCTCCAAGAGTTTTGGAAAATCAAATTGACACCAAGAAGGTTTGTGACTTTGTGGAATTAATGTGGTTTGGTCAAATGAAGCGAGCATCTAGTTGATGTTTTGGCTGTACATTCTTTATTTGTTATATCACCCTTTTGCAAAATTCGATTAGAAACGTTGATTAGACATTACCCTCTCAAAGTTGAAGAGATTAAATTTGGTGCGTGGTCCTTCATAAGCTTTAAATTCAAAGTAATTTGATTGCGACATACTTATTTAGTTAGTCACCCAATATGTAGTCAAAATTTTCCTTGTAATGGTTACCTGTTTAATTTCTTTCTTAGTTAACTCGAAAAGTTTCACCCCTAAATATATAATTATAATTGCAAAACTTTATACTGCTGATACTGTCATGTGTCTATACCAGAATTAATTGATTGGAAAATTATTAAATTGGAATTCTCAGCAATGATGAGAAGGTGAAGGAAAATATTGACTACTTGGGAAAAGACGACCATAAGATATTTACACTTTACACCCTCTTCCCCTCTGTGTCCATATCTTTGTCAGTATTTTCTTTTCAGCGGTTCTTTAATAATTTTATTTTATACGTTGCATAAATCAAATTCATACCATTATCTAGTGCCTTTGACGTATGGTTTCTTTCAGGAGCTGGAAAAGAGCCTCAAAGCCACGTGTGAAGAGTTCATCATGTCGGTTACTAAACTTGTTGTGGATCCTTTGCTTTCGTTTGTTACAAAGGTCTGTGTCTGTAACCAAACTATTTGATGTGGTGACAGCTGGTGAACTAAAGGAGATCCAGCTGGTGAATATATTATTGGTTCTTATTACAATTTTTTTGCTATTTGCAAGCTGCAAATCTCGTGGCATAAACATACATTTGAAATATTTCATTTCTTGACAACTGTCACTGGAAGATTGAACTTCTTTTATTGTCTTTGTAAGGAGAAATGTATTTACTAGATTTTTCATTTTGCTTTTTGAAGGTTACAGCCGTCAAAGTTGCATTATCTTCGGGTGGTCAGAATCAAAAGCAGTCAGGTATGGCCAAACCTCTGAAGGATCAAGCCTTCGCTACTCCGGATAAAGTGGCTGAACTTGTTCAGAAGGTAGGTCATTTATAATTATTTAATTAAACTACAAAACATTCTGCTCTGAAAGAATTCTCTACGAGGAACTCGTACACTTGGGTGATGATAAGAAAAATAAACAATTAACGCCTCCAGTCTCATTTTTAAAATAAGTAGCATGGTAGCTTTTGATAAAGCAGGATGCTGATTTTTTTTTTCTCAGGTATTTTTAGTTCATCAATCATTAGTAGCCTACAAAGTTGTCCATTTTATAGAATATGCAGTCTTGCAGAAAGCCAGTAACTCATCTACATCTTAGTGATGTCATGTCTAAATAACACAAGTTAATATAGAAAATAATATTCCTCACGTTATCTTGATTGGGGGATTCTCTTTTGTGTAGCTAACTCGATGTTCTATATCTAATAGGTCAGCGCTGCTATTCAGGAGCAACTGCCGGTGGTGATAGCAAAAATGAAGCTTTATTTACAAAATTCATCAACGAGAACTATACTTTTCAAACCAATAAAGTAAGTTTGTATGTAAAATATAGAATTACGGTGTGAACATTTTTCTGTATACACTGTGACAAGAGCATCTTGATTGTCATTTCCTATTGTTTGATGGAAAAAACTTGCGTTTTTACTTGAAGATATTTTATCGATAGAAATGTCGGTTAATTGGATGATGATCTGATGTGCATTGATGGTTTTTTGGGCACAACCAACTGGTTAATATTGGTCAGAATTTGTTACTTAGTTACGCAGAGTCGTACCGATCTAAAAAGCTGTTTCTCCTCGTGTTCATGCAGGACAAATATTGTGGAAGCCCACATCCAAGTTCAAACCTTGCTACAATCAGAATACTCGAGTGAAGAGATACAGACCATTAATCTGAAATCCGTACAGGATCTGCAAAATGAACTTGATAATTTTCTCTAATTTGTATGTAAAGGCCATTCGATAATTTCATGTCCATTTTTTCCCAGCTGAAGGATCTTCAACAAAAACCTGATTACATACATTCTAGATAATTTTGTAGAATTCTTAGCAAGAGATAGCAGAGTTGTCGTTTTGCTGCGGACAATTTATATTCCTTTTTGTTTTATTTTTTAACACTGATGGATGTTATTGTTGTACAATTTTTCACTAGTCAGCTACATACGGATGATTTACTTTTCCCTTTGCTCTTTCATGCGATGATTATAAAAGGGGTAAAAATAGCTCTTCCATAACGCCATACGATCCGACTTTCGTTTTCTATGGAATGAACTGGGAACAACCCTTAAAGGAAAAATTTATAACTATTGTTTTCAATTTTCATGTTTACGCTTTTGGTCTTTCGAGGAGAAGGAGAAGGATACTGTACTCTGTATTGACTCCGTCATTTAGTATTTAGAGTAACGCTAGTCACGACGGATCTTTTTGGAAAATATTTCACTTTAGCAATATATAAACAATAAATCGCATCCCAGCAAATTCAATTCATTAACTTTTCTTTACATGAGATCAGGCCGACAATTTCATTACTTTTCTTAAATATTAGCTTTAATGAATAATTAAATTTCAAAAAATAAAGGCTAAACGTGATCTTTTTCACATTGAAAATATATTTATTAAAAATATCTGAGACACGAGTGTCAATGTGATAGTCATTCAAATAATTACTCAGTATTTATAAAATAAAACTGTAATATCGTTACTTGACATATGTAAGATGGTAAAGGCCATAGGAAAAAAAAACCATTTTCAAATATATACAACAATACAGGTCACTTAACAGTGAGTCAGAAAAAGAGAAACGCAGCAGTGCGTATGTAATTCAAGAACCCTTCAATAGGCTACGACTAAAAAATCAAAATTTGAAGACGACAGAATATGAAAACAAGAGATTGAATACATTATATAAAAAAATAAAAAGGGGTGGTGGTGTCGCTGTACAGTTAGTTACCCTTGATGGATATGCTCCAGCATACCCTTTCAACAATCTCTGGTAACTGGAGATGCACCTCCGATGTTTTAAGGGACACAAATCATCAGCTGCATTATTCAGCAGGCAAATATTACGAAGAAAAAGGAGAGAGAACGAACATAGGATGAGAAACCCGTGTCAACGGATGCTGGTATCTTAACATTTAGAAGATAAAATTTTGAACACGTCAATCAAATGGGTCCCACCTCATGCATTTTCGTCACAAATGTCAGATTGGGACCCACTGGGGTGTAACCCTGGAGGAGACCACTGATCTGGCACCATGAGAAAATATAAACTCATGGCTTTCCTAAACCGTTTCTTGTACTGCTGCGGTGATATAACTGTTGGAGAAGTATTCTTGGGTCCACCAAGGATGCCTGAGGTCTTCACCCAAGTTTCAAGGTGTTTATCCCATGTATACTGCCTCATAAAATCAATGATACCTAATACCAGCTCATGTTTTTCCTCATCCACCCCAACCAGCAATGAGTAGTCCATAACATGTATTGACTGCAACACCAAACACTCGTTTAGACTCTATTAATGGATGTTTACAGTCACATCCCCTCTAATTAATGCATTTGGATGCTAGTATACTCCACTTGTTTTTAGGAATATGCTAGTAAAACTATGACTTGGATTTATTAACTTACCAATACTCCAAAAGATGTAGCTAACACACTAATATATTATTAGTAAACAAACACATCTAATTGCCAACCAGTTTTTAGCGTTCCTTTTTTCTCACTTGACACCATATAAAATAGAGATGGGATATCTAATCATAAGTTCTCTCCCTCCTAACATCATTTGACAAGCAAAAAGAAGGAAAAGGAAGTTGCAAGAAAATCCCCCCTACACAGTAAAGAGTTAAAATTGCGAAGGGCATCAGACTTACTGCAAGGAAGGCAGTATCATTCCACACAGCCCTCTCCAGCAACCGTTTTGCCTTATTCCCAACAAATATTGGAGAGGTTGGCATAGCTTCAATGAGGTTCTGATCCAGCAGCACTTTATTGCTCCCAGTTGTATCTGGATTGTACCGTGATCGGGAAGAACCTTTGAGGTCATAAAGCCGTCTAATGTTTCGCCTGTAAAGAAGATTTTCCATAACCAAAACATCCATTTTTGTTTCCTTCCCTCCTTTGAGGTGCTTAGATGTTACCTTCACAAAAAGGACACAATCACCCACAATGAGAACAAACATATATATGAGTTGCACTTGGAAAACAAGGCTGTTTACAAGAAAAATTCAACTCAACTCTTGAGTATCAAACAAAAAGTACCTGATAAATTCCCAAGATCTTTGCTAGACAAGTTGGGCTTCCTGTACTGATTGACTCAGATAAATACTTAAAATAAGCTGGTGCAAACTTGGTAAATGACTCTAGCTCTGTTTTTGTAACCTGCTTGATAATAAACCTATCGTCCAGGGTTTTTGCAAAGAAAACATTGCTCTTTCCTCCCTGAGCCCCCCATTTCTTACAACGGCTAAGGGACCGCACAAAATCTAACTCCGTAGGGCAACAAGTTCTTCTTAAAGCCTCAAATCTCTTTGCATAGTAGCAAGTTACAGTATATTTCACTTTCCCAAGGGAGCTCTCATCAGTAAATGAAACCCTTGCGTGCAAATCCTTTGTGTATGAGAGTGGATCCCCAGCCGGTAAACTCCGAGACCCAGAAGTGGATAACATGCTCTCATCAAAAGAGCCAAGACCTCTGTATGTATTACTAATTGTCTCATCGAAAGAGTTAAGAGAAAGTAAGCTTGTTGAATCAAAGAGTGGCAATGAAATTGAACTGTCTCCACTGTCTTTAGGTCTATCAAATTCTGACATCTGCATATGATAATCCATTGACACAAGCACATACGCTATAACACTAGTGGGTTCATCATCGTAAACAGGCACTATAGTATCATTAGTGCCAGCGGGCAGAAGTAGTCTAGCACCAGTCTGGCGCTCCACCTCTCGAAATGATAAAATGTGGACTGGGTTGTACTCAACAAGTTTCTGAATATTGAAGGAAGAAGTTTTATTGAATGAACCAAAGAAGTTTGCAAAAGGCATTGCTTTCCATTTAGTATCAAGTCCTTTGGAAAGTAATTTAGAGTAATTAGAACATTCTGCCTCGATCCCACCTATATCAGCAGTATACTTGTCAGAATTTGATTTTGATGTAACTATATTTGCCACAGGTGAATGAACAGCCACAGCTGCTGCATCAGGAGATAGACAACCGTTTTCTTTGAGTGATGAATTTGTAGGGTGACTTTCACCTGTCCATGCTGCATCAAGGGTATCAGATAAATTAGCCACAACAGCAGATTCCCCCTCAGACAAAGCCCTCCTTACAGACCCTCCAAACTCCACAGAATCAGATTTATCATTGGTATTTACACAACCAGAGAGAGAGAGGTCAACTTTATGATGATTTGTATCTTTACCCTTGTCTTCACTTTTAATCACATCACCAGGGTGGCTAGTGTTTTCTAAATTTAGGTTTCCATCAGGTTTTGTTTCCAAAAGAAAGGAATCACAACTGCTATGGCCTCTTGCTGGCCTAGTGGCAACATCTGCTTCAACCATCTTCTCTCTTGGACCAAGCAACTTCTCTCTATGATTTAAGATCTTTGAATTTTCTTGAAGTGTAATTTTAATTAAATTGGATGCATATATCAAGCGTTGGTCCCAAACATAAGAATGAATAAGGATATCCCTGCGCAACTTATTGAGCTCTAAAATATCAATCATGGGCTGTCCAGCTTTGCCTTCTTTATGCAGCAATTTTTGTAACGAGTCCTAGGTAATTTAACATTATAAATAGGAATTGTTCAAGCAAGGAAAAACAAAAAAAATTTAAATGAATCCTACCAATTTATAATTAATATAGAATGTAAGTAGAGGAGGGATTTGATCAAAAGAACACAAATGTAGGAAAAAAAAAATTCCATCCTAAACTTTTTTTAGAGGGGGGAGGAATGAGTAGTTAAAAAAGAGGCAATGCATCTCAGCTCAAACCACCTACCTCAACTCCCTCTTTCTCATACTGCAGCATCCCTTTAAGTTCCGCAATTAGATTCCTAAAATCCGACACCCTATGTCCACCCTCCTGCAACACAGTACCTGAAACCTTGTCTGAATTTTGATGCAGAACGGTGCACACTTCACTAAACAGTAATTCAGCCTTCTTATGCAGCTGCTGGCCAAGATTACAATCTCATAAATACAGAAGCACTCAGAAGAGAAATCTATACTTCAAATAAGATTAGCTACCAACCTCATAAGCTTCTTTTTGTACCCAGTCCTGCCTATCATAGTTGATGAATTCTAGTTTAGGTGGGGGAAGATAAACAGAATGAAGGTGAATTGAAGCATAACGAAAGCAGGCAACCATCTTCCCAAAACTGCACACAGAAAAACACCATTCAAGAAGAAAACCAAAAGTTGATTTGTATTTGCTAGTCAGACACGTGATTATTTTTAAGTGCTTCACAATCCTCATTACTGATGCTAGACTAAAAGAAGGATGATCCTATTACCAATCTAAAATTATGCATGATTGAACGGGACTTGCTTCATACCCTCCCAAAAAAATAAACCAATTGACAACCCCCCCCCCCAAAAAAAAAGTGTTTCCTTCAGGAACTAGACTCCTCTATCTAGCAAACTATTTAAATATTCATAATTACTTTATGGCCATTTGTTTCAAGGTATAATAGTGTATTGCTATAACCAAGAATGCTATTCTTGAGCACATTGAAATTTTGTTTGGCTAAATTTTAATAATCCCACAACTATTTCTAAAATTCAAAACCTTAGAATAAAATAATAGAGTAAATACCGAAATTTTTTAATCTCATTAGAAAGGAACTTCCTCTCTTTTTATAGTAATATAACTTACCCACCCTACGTCATAGAATAAAAACGAAGTGTTGTTACTTTCCAGGGCAAAAACAGTACCTGGGAATCATTTTTAAATATTGTAATAAGCATGGAAATATTACATTTCCAAGTTCATATTCCCAGGAATAAATGTTTAAACCTTGAAACAAGCACACTCTTTGACTCCCCTATATTCTTCCAAGCAAGTATCCCTTCCATCACATCCTGATTTATTATAGATTCAATTAAAGGAGTTGAAAAATGTACCCATAGAATCTTAAACAATCTCTGTGGAGAGAATGACCACAACTTGCAACCCTGCTAGCTGCTGCATGATTTGAAAAACTCAGCTCCAAAAATTTCCCAAAGGATAAGCCCCAGGCAGCATCAGACATAACTACTCTTCGTGTAGCAGGAGGAAAACCATTTACACGAGGACATTTTAGGCACCTGTGCCACATCCAAATTTTACCTTCTCGTTCCCCTGGTAAAACAAAATCTGGTAGTTTCATAACAGAAATTGTCAGGCTGCCTTGCCGATGAGTATAACAATGAACATGGGCTTGTGATGGCAATTCACATGAGCAGCAGGTGTAACTCTAATAAAGAAATGTTATCAGTTTAGCCACTGTTGATAAGATTTATTTAATGAATGAAATAATTCGGAAGAACAAATACCTGATCAAGAAGTTGATCTCTCAAGAACCGTCCCAAAGGCTTGTCAGAACTTCCATAGTATTTAATTCTGACAAGATGGGACCTTTCACAAACAGATCCTTTCCACACACAACGTGTTGATAAAAAGACTAAAATACTCTGATGGTCAGAAGTTGAGGGGGGGAAATCTTCATTTGAATGTATCATGTCCTCATGATAATTATTGTTATTACTACTATTAGTATCATGTCTTACATAGGGTGGCTCAGGACTAGGGCCTTGATTAACAGACAATGCTGCAGCTTTGAGGTGGCTATTGCCATCTTGTTGTGAAGACTCAGAGGTTCCAAAAGAATCTGAAATAAGATTATTTTTCAACATAATTTCTCTTCTCTCATCTGGTCTGTATTGAAAAAATTCCTTAGGACATTTATTATCGTCCTCCTTAGAAGCAGTATTTGAAAGGAAACTTTTGCAGTGCAAAGATGCCATATCCTGAGCTGATTGGATGGCATCTCCTGACACTCCGTGCATATCGATTGAGTCACCCACCATTGATCTTTCAGTGGACTCACTGCAGCTAGATGGGGTTCTTTCTGTCTTGTGGATATCATTAGATTTTGGTACTTCACAAGGTTTTGCTCCCTGAGACTCTCTAGCAGAGAGAACAGAAAATCCAGGGATAGTGGAAATGGATCTCACAATACTAGATGGTTTATCAGGTAACGCAACAGTTATGGGAGATTTCAAGGGAAACTCTAGAGGTGAAGCACCTTCATCAGCCAGAAAAGATGTCTCTAGGGCCAGATGATAAGCTGCAAAGACTCCATATTGGATCACATGTTTCACCTTCTTCAACTCATCCCCATTGGCACCCTTCAACAAGATCTTCAAAGTAAAAGGCAAAAATACTCTTAATAAATAAATAAAAACATGGAGTGGAAGGGGAGAAGTAGTAAGGAACAAACAACTCAACTTTCCTTTACAACTTACTACTGCGAACTAATAATGACATACTTAACCACACTTTCAAAATATCATTCCCAAACACGAATCAAATTTCTAACCTCACATCTTTCGAAATCAATTTTTTCACAATTAATCACATCAAGACTATCGAAAACAAACTTAAATTTTTTTGAAAAGTTTTCGTTGACATTATTTAATTCACCAGTGCATAATGTTATATAATGAATTCCAAAAGTTGCAATTCGTGAATTTTAATGCTAATTTAATGACTTTTGGTTCCCTTTGCCATCATTAGCTTAATTGGCTGACATAGTTATCCAGCATAATATTTAATTAGCTGTTTGAAAAATCACAATTCAGACCCAGATAACTACATAAATTATACAAATTTTTCCTTCTTGGTAGTTGTCATCTGTCTTTTATCTAGCCTATGATGAAGTGAAAGTGTCAGCTAAAAATCTATCAAAGACTGTAAAAATGTGTATGCACTAACACTGAATTTTGTGTCCCAGAATATGTTAAGTTATGGAACTTACAGTGCAACCTAAAGGTTTCGGGCAACCCTCAAAGAACATCAAAGTCTTTGTTGATTTTTTCCCACCTTGCCCAGCACTACCATGTTCCTCAAAAAATTTGTCCACGTGGAATGTTTCGCAATATCCCAGCTTCTGAGAGGTCAAATGATCAATTGAAGGGACAATCTGTGCACCAGTACAACGAGCAATGCGCTCTAAAAGTGGCTTTTTGATATTCAGGACAAGGGATATGTCTTTAGCAAGAAGGTATTCTTGAGCATAGCGAGATACTGACTTCTCCACTAAAAGCACATTGGGGTGATGTGCATCAATCCTTGCAACTGCCATCTTCAAATGGTCCATCTCCTGGAAATGAGTAAAAAGATAATGAAATTCAGCAACATTATCATTGGAAACAAAACAATGACAATCAAATCTTCTAATAGGTGGGGTCAGGTAATAGAAATCAAATCGCAGAGAAGATTATACACATTTAAGGCCAGTAACAACAAGCATATTCAGCATATAATTATCAAGTTTTAAGAGCTTGGTGGGTGGAGAGAACCTGCTGTAACAAAGTATCCACACTTGATAACTGGTTAGAAACGCGCTGATACTCCAAAGCACCTCCAAGTATTAAAAAACGTGGTTTTTCAATTTTTGATGTCATTCGCCGATGAGCCACGTTCTTTTTGCATACAACTCCTTTAACCACCATGCTGGAAATAGAAAACTAGAGCATCAAGAGTATACAGAGACAGGTAGAAGAAATAATGAACAAACTGATAGAGACTTCTCCCAAGGCAAGAATCTAGATAACACGATTTTCCATTCACCAGCCAACTCACACATGTACGTATTATTAAGAAAACAGGTTCACGTCAGTAAACTCTCTAACTCAAAAGAACTTCTGACTAATATTATTGATAACATTACAGCAGAAAGGCATTTACATCATATAGACTGGATCATAACTAATTGCCTAGAATAAGGCCCTGTTTGTCAAGAAAGTCAAACAGAGAAATAAAAGGAAATCACAATACATACAGAAATATAATAAACCTTAACACTCTACTATCTTTACATTGCCCCAACACCAGTAGCTCATCCCCCATACAAGGGCAATGAATTTACAGACTTCAGCAGACAAAAGATGCAAACAAGTGTATAGTACTAGCAATTAAACGAACTTCTTTCCAACAGATTTTTTTTATTTTAATTTGAGGGGGGTGGGGGTTGATCCTTTCCGTCACAATCCATATGATAAACATGAAGGGAAGAAAATGATTAACATGAGGAGAACACATCCACTGTGCTTCAATATAATGGAATACCCATCTATCCCGTAAAATGAATTTCCCCAGCATATCTTCATGAGCTATGAATTATCCATATAGAATAGGAAAAGTAGAAAAGAGAAAGTAAGAGCTGTACATTTTGTTTTTTTTCAAGGGGGCATATACTATTGTCACAATTTTTTTCCTGTTTTTCTTTTTATGGCACAGGGAAAATGCTGAAACAAAATAACAAAATAAAAGATCCAATAACATGTATGTAGGTCAGTACATTAATCAACTAATATTTTTTTCTCCACAACCATTTCTGTTATAATAATATATACATATATAACCATTTGACTTCATCTAAGAGATTAAGCTTTTGGGATAGTTGGTTTCTGAAAGTTACCTTTCATTTCGATGTCCACAAGCTATGCATTTAACCTTTACATATCCACCAGGATCCATACCTCCACCTCTGCTCATATCGGGCTTCAGAATTGTAGCAGCTTCCCAAGACAAAGCAGTAATTATATCCAACCAGTTCTCTTTTCCATCTTCATCACAAATACTTAGGTTCTCCACTTGTAAGAGCTGAGTGACCAGTGCTCTAAAATGCCCTTCCACTACAGTCTTCATGGCCTTCCTATGATCCTCACTTGCTTTATCTCTGCTACGACATTCTCCAGAGCCAAAACTAGTGGAGGATCGTAGATATCCCCATTCCCCACCTCCAGTAGTACCTTCATCCTCGTCATCATCAAAAAGAACAGCTTCTCTATCATCCTCTTCATCTTCTGGCTCAGGAGGTAGCCACATTAGTCCATTACTCTCAAAATCCACAGGCTCTGCATCGTTCTCCTCATGATAAGGAGAAGTTTCACATCCATCAGCATGATCATGCTCATCAGCTTCTTTATCAGGTGCTTGAATTCCACCTACACCTTCTAGATCAAGATTCCGTGGTGGTGTTAAGCAATTCAAGCTTTTTTCTTGAATGTTATCTTCATCAGTATGCATTTGATGTGGCCCATAGACATGGTCAACCCCATGAATGTTAACTGGATCTTCATAGTCATGGGCATGAGAATAATGTCTTGATTCTGTGTCAGAATGATAAACACCATAATCATCATCCTCATCATCACTCCTGGTTCAGAAAAATAAACATAAAATAACAGTAAGAACAGAAAAACAAAAAGTTTGATGATAACAGCAGAATTTACAAAGATGCACATGCAATAGTAAAATATATATTTCTGAAGTCAATGAATCAGAGTCTACAAAGGTGCACATGCACCAGCCAAATATATCTTTCTGGAGTCTACAAATGACATTATTGGATCCTACCAAAAACTCCCAGCCAATTTCGGCAGCACCATTAGGTTCATCTCTGGACCAGAAATGATTACATCAAAACTTTGTTGAACAGCCATACAAAATTTACATCTTAGCAAAGCCATACAAAAACACATATTTGCAAGACTAACTTTCATCTATTGACAACCAGATTATCAATAAGCAAAAACTCTAAATCGTTTTCATCCTTATTTTATCTTGATGTAGATTTTTCATTAGCATCTAAATGTGAAAACCTAAATGGCTTCAAATATTTAAGTGGCAAGTAAAACAATTAAATTCAGCAATCATAAAAGAAGAACCATGAAAGAACGAGTACCTGTTGAAGCAATAGCCAAATTGGTTAGAAGTCAAATTCCCTACAGCCTCAGAGGGATTTGAACTCCTCCCAGAATTTAAATTATCTTGCTCATCAGCTATCTGATTCATTTGCGATGATTGAGGGGGACTATAAGGCACACGCTGATAAGGCCCAGTTGTATAAGGAACTGAACCAGCAGTGCTGCTGCTACTATGACAGGTGCAACTGGACTTAGTGCTGACCAAGCTTGTTGTAGATGGTGAAGGGCTGAGACAAGGAGTGGACGAAGGGTCTGCACTGCCATTATTATCAACTGCTGCTAACCGTTCCCATTGTTTAAAACAATAGTTACAGACCCTTATCCTCTCCCAATCTTCTCGGACGGTATTTGGCTCATATGATGGCGCAGGAACAGAATTGGCAGTGCATTTGGCACAGAAAACTCGCCCACATAGTCGACAATGATGCCTGCGGTTGAATATTGTGAACTGTGAATCACACTCATAGCATACCCTACAACTCTGATCGGGCATCCAGAAGTCCCTCGACACATTTGGTGGCTCAGCCCTTCGGGGGATCCAAGACCTAACTACATCAACAAAATCAGATCTTTTCTTGTCGGGGGTGCCCATGGACTGTGATTCAACCCAAGACCTCTCATTATGAGTCCCTCATTGACCAGCCTTGTTAACATTCCATCTGATCTATGAGCCCGGTAAGAAGCATATGAAAAACAAATAAATATTCTTTAAATTTTGAAAAGCCAGAAAGTGGAAAAACAACACATCTTTGAACTAGCAATCACCATTTTTTTCCTTTAAAACTGTAACGATTTGATAGACAACAATATTCATTATATACTACTACAGAAATTGAGAAGAAAGCAATTCACTGAGTCTCAACTACTGAAAAACCAACAGTTACATAAACCATGAGTAATGATAAATACACTTGCCAGGGGCTAAAATTTAATGTCGATAAAAGCACGATGAAATAGTAAGCATACAATTAAGTAATATTATTATTGCAATCTTGTCCACAAACATCAATCACTGAAAACATTGGAAAGCCAATAGCAGCTAGCAATATAACAGATAATACATAGTTACCAAATGAATTGATCAAACTAAGTTCCAGAACAAAGGCAGAGACCACCATTGGCCACCGCCATGGAAAGCAAAACCCCATCAACTTAGCTCAATGCCTCAATTCCCAGCATACACAGATAGCAAGTTCAATCCAAAACAATGACCCAGATGCAAAAACACCAACCACTCGAAGAAACAAGCACAGAATCGGTACCACCCTAAGCTGGTTCTCCCAATTTCTCCACTTCCGTCACCGACCCACAAAGCAATCAACCGTTAAACTCTGAACATGCATGTCAGACAGTAACTTTTTGGGCACTGAAACCTCAAACAACCGAAATCAGATCTCATAAGCCCCTCCAGAAACACCCAGCAGAGTAATAATTACAAACAGTGATTGAGCAATAAAATAATACTGCAATAAATTATTATTCTTATAATTATTATAAAATTAAAAAAATACATATTTTGAATGAAGGGGAGAGAAAAAGAGTGACAAACCAAAAGCAAATGGGAAAATCCTCGTTCACTTGGCGCCACACCTTATCACGTGCGTATCCGACACTTTCTACCTCAAGTTAATTTTCATCATTTATATTCTGATGTTTATTTTTCAGGTTAATTATTGTTCCTATTTTTCATACATTATTTTATTCTTATTTCGTTTAAAGTTGTTAGAAGAAATACCAACCAACCGCCACGCGCTTTGTACATCTGTAGAACTGCAAGCTTCTAAAATTACACGTGGTTTTCTGTAATTATTATATGTTGTGTCATTTTCATTTTAATATTATTAAATTTTTATATATAAAATAATTTTGTATTGTCAATTCGATAAAATATTATATATAATAAATTTAATATTTTATAAAATTATATTAACAGTAATTTTATTGATTAAAATAATAAAACATTTTGCATTCAAAAATATTTTTCCTCTCATATGATCATCTAACCCTTTTCTTTCTTTCTTTCTTTTTTTCTTCTGATCACGATTATTTGTGTTTTTTTTCCCTCACAGTCACGAGAAATTTGACCTACTTTCGCTAAAATGACGTGTTACTAAAACTATCCATTGCCATTGTTTTCTAAAGTAGAGCCACATAAACTTATCAACAATCAATTTTGTACCTATAAAATTAATTATTATTTTTTAATAATTTAAGATAATAAATTTGGATGAAACTGGAAAATTGAAAGAGAAAATAAAATGAATCGGTAAATAGATTTTTAATTTATACAATATAATTGATATTAATTTATATCAATCTCAAATCATTGTGTTCGAATAAATACTTTCTTGACAAATAAATGATTTTATTTTCTGCGGAAAAGTCTTAGTCACATGATAAATCATGGAGTTTGAAAAAGTTAACAGTATTTCTATAATGAGAGTTGGATTTGCCAACGATACGATCAAACTTGGTAGTTGAGTTGATGATATATGCCACATTTTGAACTTTATGCAATATACATAGAAAAAAGAGTCATAAATTTAATTTTGCAACATTTAAGAATTTTCTAAAACAAAAAACAAAGAAAGGGAAAAGATGATCACGTATTGTCTCGGTGTCCCAGAAAAAGCTAATAATCGTGAACATAATGCAAGAGTTTAAGGGAAAAGATTGACAATTTATTCCTATCTGCACCTCCATATCTTAATTAAAATATTATTTTAATCATTTTTGTTTTAACATTTTTTTTTCTATTTTCTTACAAAACTTCTGCACTTTTATTATTCATTATATATATAAATTTAATTTTTTTTATTATCACCTCCAATTAATATTATATATCTATTATATATGTTATTATACTGAAATTACACGTTAAAACCATTGATTCAAAATAGTTTTACAAAAATTAAATTAAGTTATAGAATACTAAATTTATAATGTAATTTTGTATTAACTTTTTCATAAATGTATTTTAGAACAATTATTCTGGAATATATTTATAAAAAAATTAACTCAAAATATATTTCTAATCGATCTGAAAATATATTTAAAAAAATTGAAAATATATTCAGAAAAATGAGTTTCATATTACATTTTCAACAAATTAATTCCGGTATTTCAAGACTTACTTTTCGGAACATGTTTTGGGACAAAATTTTCTAAAACATATTTTTGAAAAAAAAAAATTCAGGACGCAGGAAAAAATTATGGAAATGATGGAAGAAAGTCCCAACAGATTTGAAGACCGAATTTTTATCATTGTTATGTCTAGGTGAGTCCTTGTAAGGGCTGGGGTTGGGTGTTTGGGCCCGCTGAATCCACGAAACTGCGTGTATCATGGGTTTCACTCGTGGGCCACGGGCTTTTACTGAAATACTCAGCTCTATACAGTACGGAACATTTCTAGTTCTCCCGTTTTAAAATTTGTTTTGGTTGCAGAGTATTTTCATATATCATCATTTTTATCAAAATATATTTCTTGATACAGTTGAAAGATTATAAAATTAAGTGGACAGTGAAATAATTTTATTTAATATTAATTTTATAAAATTAGTTGTATTATCATAATATAAATAAAACATACATGATTCGTCCATACTCGACTATGTATGTAAAAAATATCTCAAATAACTTTTTATTTTAATAACAAAATTTGCATTTCATCTACAAAGATAAAGTCAATATGGTATTCCTCTCTTTCCTAAGAAAACAAAAGTACAACTTATCATCCATGTAGATCAAGTTGATCCGAATGTAATTTTTTCACACAAATTGTTACATATATTTCTTTTACTACAGTAATTGGTTGGAAGGATAAAAACACAAATTACAAATTGTTACAGATATTTCAATTACTTGGTGTATTGTCTGGAGGTTGATAAAAAAAATGGGCATGAAAAAGAAAATAAATAAGAGAAATTAAAAATGATTATATTTTATTTTAACTGAATTAGAATGATGATGAAAAAAAGAGAGTTTAATAAAAAAAGGAAAGTTTAAATTCTATATAATTAGTTTTATATCTTTTATTATAATGTTAATATAAATTTAAAAATGTTTTTTTTCATGTAACTTTTATTTTGTAACTAAGATTGGATTAAATTTTTCCAATTCATGTTCAAGAAATCAAAGTTGTTAATTGATTAGGAAAACAATTAAAAAAAACAAAGTATTATCATGTATTCATCAGTTGGAATTCAATTAACAAATAAGCATGTATTAAACACAAAAATATACATTTTAAATTAATATCAACCACAACTTTTAAAATAAGATACATGTCACGGTGTGTAAAATTTATTCTAAATGCCAGTAGCTCCACAAGCGCTTAAACCAAGTTTGAAGTAAAGAATTGATGAAACTATTAATATCTGTTATTCAAACTCTAGACAAACCATTTTAAACAAATTTTAAAGCGTCCGCAGGTTACAATCTCCACTCAACCCAATTAACTAAAACCTCATACGCCCAGAAAAATAATAACGGAATATTTTTAATGTAAAACCAATTTTCATGCATAACTCACATTTCATGGATTTAAACAACCAGTAAATTAAATAAATTGACAATCTCCTCAAGGTTCCAAACACAATATTAACTTTGGTCTTTTTGGTATATATCAATATTTTAATACTTCCAGCTAGTAAATCCAATTCCAGAAAACCCCCTCAGCAAGAATAAGAGAAAAAGCAAACGAATAACTTATTTCATCGATTATCTATGTACAATTAGTCTAATATTCACATCATAAATTCGTAAATCATTAATATCAATCGTAATAAATATATGATGACCAAATTACGAAGAGATCCTTAATCGATATGAACCAAACATGGAGGAGTTTGAATTAACTACGGAAATGATATTTCAGAATCCATGCACGAACTAAAAGTGTTCAAGAAACAGGACGTACTAGACACCACTTGAGCCGACAGAAAGGTGTAATTCTGGAACTGGAAGTAGGAACCAGCTTAGAAACGTAAACAGGAATATAGTTCTTGAAGACTGGCATACAAGGGTTGAGCAGCCTTTGGTCTGTCCACCATCCCCAGTAGAATGTCAGATGTGGTGAGGTAAGGATCACCATAAAAGCGGAAATTGGCATCCATCCTGGTTGCAACCATATTTCCTTCCAAAGACACTCCCACAAATGCACCTACGGTTTGGAAACATTCCATTGATTAGCTATACTGTCAAACTTTATCTAAAACAGACATTAAAAATGGAAATAACATACGAAACAATGATAAAAACAATGTAGTAGGCACAAGCAAACAACAATAGTAAATTATGCGCCAAACAAAGCAGTTGTTACAAAGAATTTAAGTACTCCACGGGAGAAACCAAGCTACGTAAGTATTTCACTGAACATCTGATTTCACTTGGTGTGCAACTCAAACTCTCCATAATACTCATGTTCATATCATAACACAACACCGTTCCAAAGAGCTTATGTTCCTACAGCTACACTTTCTAATGCTTTTCTCAGGCTTTTTAGTTACTCCCATCAAACCTTCCATATACTGTTCCATGGGAGATTAAGACACCACATATACCCAACTACTTATCAAACTATACGAAGATTTAGCATGTCCAAAAAACAATACGACAAATTATTGAGACTATAATGTGTGGCAATAAAGACAAAAACCCTAACAAGAGCCTTCGATCCACCTTATGCATTTACCACATGAGGAATGCTAGCAACACAATATTCTTTAAGGTGACTAAATGCATGAGGCTCCAACTAAGTAGGTATAGGAAGGTATGCAAATGGAGAGTCTTACCCTCACCAAGTGGAAAAAGTATTTTCAAAATTTGAAACCATGAACTCTACTCTAGATCACAACACAAGGTAGAAACAACCTCAACATTGCGCAAGGCTTGCCTTTAGCAACACTAAATTCGATATTATTGGAAAAAAAGGCATGTAGTGAATATGCTGCATGTAGTCATCTACCACAAATTATTCTAGTTTCCTTAAAATGATATCTAGATTTGTATATTAAAAATATGATCAAGGTCATTGCTTATTACATTCCATGACCATGTATGATGAGATCAGATGTTGAGACTATTCAATTTTAAAGCAATAGTTCAGATACTTACATCATATATATATATATACATATATGCCCATGAAGATAAATGAAATTAAAAGAAGTCCTAGGCATTAGGTACAAAACGATCCAATGATATGCGGAAAAATAATCACCAAAATTACCTTTACTGCAACTGTAAGTATAACACATGGCAGTTCCTCTGTCACCAGCACGAATATCTGCCTCAAGCACTCTCCCAACAGGCCCTGCTGCAGCACTGCAACCAGCACCAAGAGAAAAATGCATGCGACTGCAGAATGTCTTCACAGCTTTCATGTCACGAAGAACAACTATAAAATCCATAAGTTCACCGCCAATCTGAGAATATAGGATGAACACATATAATTCATCAGTCAGAAATGAATTCCTGACAAAGTCAACTTAGTCATGTATGACCAGAGAGATTTCTTATGTTCTCTATTGATTACCCACCTACTATAAGGATAGTGTGTTTAGTTAATTAATAGCTTATAAATGGTTAACACCAATCCAAGATTACAACGACTATATCCAAGCCTTGTCCCACTATGTGAAGTTGGCTATACTACCAATTCAAGAATGTTTCACATAAATAAGTTGCAGAAAGAAATATTCATGTCAATCAATATTTGAAGAATGAAGGAAATTCTAAACACAAACAGATTTCAAAATTACTCCACTTTCTCTGTTTTTTCTATCAAATCATATCAAGGAACATACCGTAGTGACAAACCTCTACAAATAAACCAAACTCATATATTCCTTACCTGAGCACCCCATCCTAAACCCAGGGAGAATATAGCTGACGGTGCAGACCATGATCCATCCGATCTTCGAGCAACAACCAAGCCAGTACCCAGTTTGTAAGAGACCAGTGCACCAACTTTGGCAACTGTTAAAATTGCTAAGCCCTTGGCACTTTTAAGAACTGATAAAGGGATGGACTTTTCAGTATTGGATTTGGCCACCTGCCAACACAAAGTATTTCACATAAGATAAAACCAGTAAAGGCTCATATCCTAAAAAATATTAACCAGATAATGGTCGGATATATTAGTAAAGAATACTAAACAGAGATTACATCATATAAAGGAAGTCATATTGCAACAAATGAAACTAACCTGACAGTAGTTTCTCAATGTATTAGATGCTTTATATATCTCATGCTCCATGGATAAAGCAATAGGAAGATTAACCCATCCTCTACCACAAGTCCAGTCCATAACATCATGCTTAGCCACCTGTGTAGCATTGCTAATGGTGTTGATAAGAACACCCTGTAAAGGATCAAGCCGATCATAGCAGGCATCACAAACCCTTTGAGGATTCCTTTCCCTGAACCCAACAGGTAATAAAGACCGCCCCTTGGTACATATTCGACAGAAAATCCCTCCACAAAACCGGCAATGATGTCTACCACGAGTAACTGCAGTAAATGGAGCATCACACTGCATACAAACAGTAGTAGAACTATCAGGGAGCCACTCAGGGGGTTCAGCTTCCAACACCTCTTTGTATGAACTATAATCACTCCCGTTAGGAAGACAGAGCGGTGGTGCACTTGGTGTGTAAACTGAAGAGTCAAGGAAAATATCCCCATTCTTTCCACAGCCCAGAAATGACACATTTGAACTTGGGTGCTGGTTTGCAGCAAACCTCGGACTTGGAGCCTTGTTCCGTCCAGTCAAAATAGCAAAGATCCCAGAAAGCACATTCTTTAAGTTCACCTCTGGACGCATGTTAGAGGGTACAAACCCACCAGCATTATCACCTGATTCATAACCTCCATCAAACAGGTCATCATCCTGAGGGGGGAACTGATAGAATATCGCTTTGTCAGAGAAAGTTGGCCCTAATTGAGCACAGGTGGTGTCAGGCTTAGGCTCAGTCCACACAGATTCACTTTTATGATTCATGGCGTCGTAGCCAAAATGGGTAGTGTTTTCCTTATCAAGCTTAGAAAGTGAAGAGTAAGTAACTATAGCATCGGAGGCTGCCATTCACCCCACCCAGACGACAGTAATCTAGCAACCCAAAACTGCAATAAAAAGTCCCAAAGTAACAAATTTTACCGAATAAGTACATGGAAATGATAGTTAATCAGTAAAGGAAAACAATCCAAGGGAAAAAATAAAAAATAAAATTGAACAACAACAAATAATTTAGGAAAAACTTCAATTGAGTATCAAATTACACGCACAGAAAATATATCAAGAAACAATAGCAGATTTCGTCAAAACAAAAGGATGTAAAATTAGGGTTTTAAAACATACAATAGCTAACTAATATATAAAGGATGAAGCTTGACAATCAAATGGATAATAAAATAAATTATAATAATCACCAATAATTGATGCCTGGAATTGCTATAGAGTAGAAGAGAATCTACTTAAATAGAATTGATTTGCCAATAAACCTAATTAAAGTGAAAAAGGGCAGAACAAGAAAACAGACTGAAGCATTCAAAGAAGAAGGGAGCCAAGGAGTTACATATTGTTTAATTACTGTTATCTGGACGACTTCGATGACACGGAAAGAAAGCCTGTAATTGCGTGCCGGGAACCATTTCGGGAGTCTGATTCGCCTCATGATTCTGTTTATATACTTCAACTTGATTATAATTTGTTTATTCTGTGGTTACAAATATCAAGATATTTTTAAAATTATTAATATAAATTTAATAGTATTATTTACATTCATGATTTAATCGTAACATAAAATTGTAATATTAATATATTTTTAATTAAATCATTAAACTCTATCCATATGGTACTAAAATGAATTCTCTTGTATATGATTTAAATTTAACTATCATAAATGAAAAAATAAAAATATATAAAACCAGCCAAATTTTAAAGAGAAATTAGGTGAAAATAAAATATATAAAATAGCATCCTATTAGTTACCTAAATAATTCAAATTGGAATCACAGGCAAAGATAAATCATTAGTGTAATATGATTTAAAAAAACATTTTAGTCTAGTCACCTACTTATAAATAAGATACTAAAAAAACAATAGTACAGTCACAAGTGTTTCAATTTTAATTGAAATCATGACTTAGTTTATTTGATTTTCTAATATATTAATAATATTGTACAATTGATTTTCTAATTTTTTAAATATTTTTCTACAAAAATCATACCATAAATAAGGAGAGTTTGTTTCTATCAAATTTTATATATAATTCATTCTTATTTTACCTTTAGTATTATATAATTTTTCTATTTTTAAAATATTTTTATAAATTATAATTTTATTTGTAATACTTTAGTAATTTCTTTAATAAACATATTAATTTGTGAAACTGTATGTACTCAAATTATCTTTGATATTATATAATTATTTATTAATTTTTTAAAAATTATATATCCATCAGCAATAATCTTATATCACTTCCAGTTACCACAAGATATATAATGATAAAATAATTTCTTTAATTAATTATATATTATTATTATTATTGTTATTATTATTTAAAAAATCATAATTCGGTAATATATGTCAGTCATTTTACTGCATTATATTTGTTCAAAATTTTGTATATTATATAATTAGTAATTTATTATAAACATAATTTAATAATAATATTTTACTGATATGTGAAATATTAAAATTATTTAATTTAAATATGCAGTAACATTTACTCGTCATATCAAATTAGAAATTATTCTAACTCATTATTTTCATCCGGTTATATTATATTATGCATGTTATCATTATGTAAAATTTATAATTATTAGGCTAATATTTGTTTTGTTAAAAAATATTTTTTATTATCGTTATGGTAAGATTTGTCTAAAATTATGATAAGATTTGTCTAAAATTATTTTAAATCATGATACTAAACAGAAAATATTGTAATTATACTTACAAAATTGAAAAAATATACAACATTCAAGAATTTAATATATATATATATATATATATATATATATATATTAAAAGTTTTAAGTTTTATATTTTTCAAATATAAAAGAAAATATCATGAATGAGTTTTTATAAGAAGTTACCCGTTTATCCTTAAGATATCTAGAAAAAATAAAAATAAAAAAGTGCAAAATGATATTAACTAAAAACTCTATTTTAAAGTATCTATATTATTCATAAGTGTTAAACTTATTAATTAATAAAACAGGTATATATTTTAAATGCCATCCGTTAAAATTAAACTACTTAACAAAGATAATTTCTAAAATTTTAATAATATTATCCTATTTCTATAATGGATATTGTTTTAAAAAATATTTATAAAGTAAAAATTATCTCCTATAATTATCAACAAGAAATAATTAATATCAATAAAATTAAATTATTTATAAACACTTATAAAGACTATCCATCATAATAAAACTTTTAAAAGAAATTAATATAAATAATTTAAAAATAATATAACATGATATAATATATATATTTAAAAGTTTTAAAAAATCGAATATAATATTTATAAAATTAGCACCTTATACCATAGTTGAAAACCTATCATTAACCATAACTCACCCATTGAGTGTAATAAAAAAGTTTAAAATACTATCCATGTCAAATTCCAATTATAAATTCTTTAGTTATAAAATATTTTCAAAATGTTTAAGAATAAAAATAAATATTTTATTATGGGTTCTATATCGAATTACTTAAAAATAAAAAAATTGTTTAAACTTGTTTAAAATTTTCTTGTTTAAAAACTCTTTTTAGAGATGTAATAATATTTGAAGTAATATATAAATTTTATTTCTAATTTTTAAATATTAAATTTTAATATACCATATTAATTTTAGAGTGGTGATATTTTGACAACCAAAAATCATACAACCCTTCAAACAATTCACTTTTATTAATATAATAATTTATAGAATGATTTAATAAAAATAAAAATAAAATAAAATTATTATTATAATATTAAAAGAGAGTTATTTATAAAAATTATATGAATTTAAATTATCAAAGTATCATTTTCTTTTATTTTAAGATGTACTCATAATCATATCTATTATCGCCCTAAGAGAACCTCAACTTAAACTATTCATTTGTTGAACTGATATTTTTGTTATTATTTTTTAACATATTATATTTAGTTTATAAAACTTCCGTTTAATAGAAAGAAATTGATAAAATATCATATTTTCTAATAATTATTACAAATATTCTTTTGTTAATGTGATGTCATAAGAATTATTAAATAACTTCATATGAATTTAATGTACATCTATATTAACAATTTATTTACATATTTTTCAACTTAACTATAATTATTCATATCTACAATTAATTATAATGTTTTATTTAAATTAAATTTATCTGTCATTAAAACAAATCATATAAATATACACATTACTTTGCCGATATAAAATTAATTATTTTTTTAATAACAATAAAGGAAGTAACATTATATAAAAAATAAATAAAATAGTTTAATTATTTTAAATATAAATATTTATTATAGTTGTTATAAAAATTATATTTTATTTAAAATTGTTTTTATTAATGATATTTTATATTAATAATTTTCATATAAATATAATATATTAATTAGAGATGAAAATCGGACACTTAAAATAATTAATAAAAACGTTTGAATAATTTTTACTCACATAATTTTCAAATATATATTTAAATTTAAATTCTAATATATTAATATTTTTTAAATGTTTCTTTTTCTTTTAATGTAAATTTTTTTTCTTATTTTTTTAATTTTTTAAATATTTTCAAAGAATATAATTACACTCTTTTATTTTATTTGCCCTTTTAATTTCACTGATATTTACACCATTTTTTCTATACTTTTCTCAAAATAATGTGTTATCCATCTTAATAATTCATAATATCATTTTATTTATAATTTTTTATTGGATTTTATTATATTATATTTTATAAATTTTATTACTTTTATTAATCAAATATTAAAATTTATATTAAATAATTACCTTTGAAAATTTTAAATTTTGATAATTTTTTTTACTTTAAATTATTTTAATAATAATTATTTATATTTACTAATAGTTTTAAATAATAAACATATAAAATAGTAAATATATTAATAAAATTGAACATTTAAGTATAAAAAATATAATATATAATACTAACAATACAATTAATATAACATTATAATAATTACCAAGAAAAAAAAACAAAATATTAATTGAGTGGATAAAAAATCGTATCCAACCTCCTATAGTATTACTAGTAATTATAATATTTACTATTAATTATAATAATTTATAATCATAAAATCACCTTTATTTCTTACGTGTATGATTTTTTTTTATCTTTGTCTTTATATATTTTTTTTTTGGTAGTAGTTATGTTAATTTTTAATATATATTGAGAATTTGTATTTTCTTTATTATAACCATCATTTTTAGGATGGTATGTTCAAAGAATATAACCTATACGTAAGTATGATAATCACTGCTACAGAATGAACTTTCTATATTAGATGTAAAAGGCATTCAATGTCGCTTATAATGACGTTGTTGAATCAAGTGACTTCTATCAAAGGACTCAAATACACATCTATGTCATTTTTTGACTCTCTTTGACTTGCAATCATCATACACAACATAACATATTTACGCTTCATACATAACCATGGTGGAAGATTATAAATCATCAATAAAATGAGTCATGAACTATGGTTACTACTTAAATTATCAAAATGATTCATCCCATCTGTTGCTAATCAAAGTCTAAGGTTTCTTGCATCACTGCCAAAACCTGTAAATAGACGGTCAAAATTCTTCCATTGGGAAGAATGAGATGGATGTCGCATTTGCCTATCACATGTTTTTCCCTTTGAATGTTAAATTAGATTTTCAGCATTTTCGTGAGCGTACAACCGCTTAAATCTTATAATTATTGGAAGATACCATAAAACTTTTTGCAGGAGGACGTTTTTTATCACTCTCTTGACTACAATCATCATCATCATTCGCTTTTTAACGTGATACACCACATATTGGACATTGGTCTAAAGATGACAACTCTTTCCTGTATAACACACA